ATATACCCTTAATTAAGGAAGTTAATTAATAATTTTTTTAAATGAGACTCTCTATTAGATAAGGATAGACATATAATATTAGTTTTTTTAGGTTAATATTAGTTTAAGTACATGGAGCATGTAATTTTTTTAAGTTTCTATTACATGTATAAAAATTACCAATTTTATTTTTGAATTCTTAACACGTACTCCTCCGATCTCATTTATAAGGCATGTTTTAAAAGGTGTATTTAATTTCATTTATAAATCATAATGCGGCTTTTAAGGTAATATTTAAAAAGTATTTTAAGAATTATCTTTCATGAAAGAGAAAAAGTAACACGGCATCACTTATAGGGGTATGTTTTAAATTTTATACACTTTTATTCTTTTTACATTTTTTTGTATTTGTATTGATAAGTTTAATATAAATGATTTATAAAAAGAATTAGAGTAGTATGCAATATGATTTGAAACCATTTGTATATGTTGACATCCATATATGCAAATGCATGTACCTTTGAGAATGTTTTCACCTAATTTAACTAAGATCTTTTTACATTTGACAAGGTATAAAGTTAAAATTTATGATATTGTTAATTTATTGTGACGCTGGGTTATTTTATTAACAATATATATTTCTTGTAAATATATATATATATATAATATGCACCTAATATTATTTTTAATTTATTTTTTATTTAATTATTATAATATTGATTAGACTATGATTTAATCAATTAAATTATAAAAATTGAGAACCACGAACTTTTTAAATTTAATATCTGGTCCGGTTTTGTGTGGGGGAATGAGAAAAACATTTATACCGAGCCAGTTTAGCGTGATCAAGTCATCATGTGATTAAATTTGACTCTTATTATTATAATTTGCGTTTACGGGATTTCGTGATAAAGAATATGAAAAAAGGCAGGGCTTAGGATCCAATGATATTAAAAAAAAAGGGCGGTGAAAAATATGAAGGTAAAAGTGGAGTCGTGATGCACGTGGGGTAATATCATGATGTAACCAATAATGGTACTATTTGCTAGGTACAGTGCGTACAGTTCAGAAAATCCACTATCATGTGGTAACTTTCGCTTGTTTCACTTTCACCTTTTTTTAACTTTTAATTTTTTTTATGAAGCAATAATAGTTTTTTGTAAGAATCAATTGTGTGTTCGAACTTCGAAGTATTGTTTGATATTAAAATGTTAACATTTTTTATAATAAAAATTCCAGCAAAAATTTATCACATTGTAAAAGTTGAATCTGTTTTATCAGACCCAACTTTTTCACTTTTACTTGTTAGTCTTTACTTATTTAAATTCTAAGAAAAATGATAAAGCTATAAAAATAGTCTAAAAGTAAAATACTAACTTTCTAGATTTAACTTTATTTAAAAACATAAATTAAAAAGTTTTCTAAAAATTTTAAACGAGAATGATTTAAAAATAATAATTAAATGCTCTACCTCTTTTATACAAAGTTACTTAGTATGTGTTTATTTAGAAGATGGGTAACAATATATTTTCTTTTTTCATTATAAAGGACCAGAGAGAACTTTATTAGCCTCTTCAAAATCTTGAGTCCATACCATGAATATTAATATTATTATATATGGTAATATCGGTAAAAATTATATTAAACCACATTATTTATAATATAATTTATCAAAACTAGATTGCACACCCATAATTTATGAATATTTTTATTTTTAAAAATCAATAGTCCATTCTTGATTCGAATGATGCAATTAAAAATAAATCATAATAAAAACCAGAATAAATATCTAACAATTTCGACTAAAGTGTTCATTTGTTTTTTTAATTTTATATAGCATTATTTTAGTTCCCTAACTTTAATATGTTAATTTTAAATAATTATTTTTTATGTTGATTATTATTATTTTTAAAAAGTATTTTTAATATTTTAATATTTAGTAATTTTTTTTAATGTTTGAGAGTTCAATACAAAATTTTTTGTTGCGCTAGAGTTATAGAATTTAAAAAATGTTTTATAAAATTCAGAGAATAGCAGCAGGTACGGATTTTCCGTCTTTTTTAATTATCTAAGGGAAATGACCATGGTGCTAGATGCAGGGCTAGGCGCAGATTAAGCGCGTGGTTTTCACTCTTCAATCATAGAGTTGGCGGCAAAGTCAATGGGCGCGGGAGCAAGTGAAATGTCGTCTTTAAAGTGGGCCCCATGCTCCAGACCTACCTTATCCTTAAGGAAGTTTAGGAGCATGAGGACGGTCCCAGTTCACCTTGTCGTGAGCTCACGTCATCTCTACAAGTCTACAGAAATAAAGATGAGGGAGGATTATATTAAACCCTCACATAAAAAAAATAATTATCGTGAAATCTGTTAATAAGTGACATCGCAATTTAAATTATTGAATGTCAGTTGTTAACTAATTAATTTTTTTATGTAAAACTTATATATAATTTTTTAAAAAAATAAATAAGAAACAAGTGATTGACATGAAAATAATGATTGGGGGTGGAAGATGGCATGGAAACTTGGAAAGAAAAATAAGAGAATGAGATAATTGAAAACTTTTATATTTTGGTGTGTCAGGTATAATTGAAGTGTTTTTTATTTATAAATATAAATATATTAATTAAATAAAATAAAATATATAAGATCATAATTGAAAAATATCGTGGTAATATACAGATATTAGGGAATCTAAGGATATGGACACCCACAGAATTATCTAATATTCATAACATTCCTTCTTGGTGTCTAGATATTGTGCCTCGTTAAAACATCACAAAGAAAAACTCAATAAGACAAAAATTTAGTAAAAAAAATAGTACACAATGTCTTCATTTTTATTGAAGATGCTTTGTTAAAAACCTTATTAGAAAATTCAAGAAGGACAAAACCTTAATTAAGGAAAGTGTAGCATAACTTTTAACCCTCATGACAATATGACTCCTTATTCTTGATTCTTCTTGAGCCATTACATCATAAACTTGTGCGTGAATTTCTTAAATATTGTTGTCGTTGATGTCTTTATGAGTTAATATTCTCTCTTAGTTGAACGAATCATTGTTTTCATGTAATATTTTAAAACTTTTTTTCTATGCATATCTTCTAAATATGAATGCATTTTTCACTTGCAGTATATTTTGTGTGATTGATAATAAAAGTTTTTAATAAACAATTATGATGTACATGCATTCTCACAAAATTTGTGTGATTCAAACTAGACATATATAACACATATGCATGTTTAATTAATTTTAATCATGAAAAGTTAAGTAAGCAACCACACACAATAATTCCTCAGACATATCATATCAAGTATATAACTTTGTTACTAATCAATGCATTTTATATATGGTGCTTTATACCCATATTTCATTATTCTCTTCAAGAAAAAATATCTTGATTTACATCTAATCAATCAATATTGTAACATCTTCCTTTGACAATTAGGTGCTCATATAAACTTTTTAAAATATTCAATAACGCTAAATCAATGCATCGGTTTGTATATAATCACATGACCAAATATAATGACAAAAAAGTTTTCAATAATCTTTATAAGCTTTTATTATTTTGAGTCCTTTTGAGATTTTCAAGTAAATACCATTATACAGGGAATCATATGAATAAACTAGCATTTATTATATGCATATCATATTTTTATACCGTCAAACTAATAACATGTTGAAAATCATTTCATTCGCCACAGTAATATATTAATACATATTTTGAATCTTTACAAGACATTTTTATATTGAAAGTCAAGCTTTGTATGTGATATTTTATATTTTTTTCTCATAAATGTTCGTGTATAATATTGCACTTTAGGTGTTTGAATTATAAATTTATAACTTTCATATTACGAACAAATGAATGTAACTATACTTGCATTGTGTCATTTTTTCTAAATCTGATGAGCTTTTTATTTATATTCTATCAAGATCCTTATTTGATTGTAATTTTTTATTCTTATTGAATGTGTTGTTGATAACTTTATTTTTTTTTATTCCATTATTTCTTACGATGACATAGCTTATCAAGATATGGAATCTCACTTTTTCAGAAAGCACGTACGAGAAGAATTTCTAGCTGCTTGACATTTTAATATCTCACTTTTTTGTTTTCCACTGAATTTCCTCACTTCTCAACTATTCTTCATTCTCTGGAAGGAGTTGCTTTATTTTTTTAAATAATATAATGTCTAAGTGAATTAGGTCTCAAAAACTCATTAGAGTCAATATATATCTTTAGACTAAAAAATACTTACAGATCGCTCACTAATATAATTTTAAAGTGTAATCTTAGATTGTTTAAAACGTTTGTTATATGTATAAAATTTAATCATACATAGAAATTAATCATCTGTGCAGCTTACGTTGTAAATTTTTGTCTATGATCTCTTGTCTCTCAATCTCACTTTGAATGTCAGGTTAAAAAAAATAAAATCTCACTCTGAAATCTGAATGGAATTATTTTATTTTTTGCATTTTTAGTGGAATATGTATGCATTTCTTTTTGTGAATGTATGGGATTTGTATTGAATTTTAACAGCCATATTTATTTAGAAATTTAACATTATTCATCATTTTTGAAAAAAAATAAAAAAATAAGTTCATATTTAAAATAGCATTTTTCATGTCTGTTTTATTCCATATGTGAAATATATCATGAAGGATCTTGATTTATCCAGGCTTCAAAAAGTTCTACCCAGACACAACATTTTTAAGAAAAAGGTCAGTAAAAGTAAGAGACGTCTTCGACCCATTGGAAAATGAAGACAGCAATAAGGCAATGATATGATTGGGCCCATAAGCCCATTACAGAAAAACGTAAAAAAATATTGGCCCAAGAAACTCAGACAAACAGGAAAATATCCAATACTACAACTTTACCACCAGTGTTTTTCAATGCCAAAATAAAAAAAATAAAATTAACCAGTGGTTCATTTCGGCCGATAAATGTAAACCGTGACGCGTCCGGTCCGGTTCAGTAGAATCCAAGACGAGAAAGAGTGAAAGACGACCATGGATTCTCAAGCTTTCTCCATGGTCCTGTTTTTTCTCAGTCGATCCTTTTCTTTCTGTCCGTCCGTTCCTCCCTAAATTCTCATCACCATACCCTAACCCTAGAGATATTCTTAAGAGATTTGATTACTGTATATTTGCAGCAGGACTTTGAAGAGAGAGGGTGGTTGGGAGAGAGAGAGAGACATGGAGACACAGTTCAGTCACACTCTCTTCGACAGGCATCCTATAATCAAGTCTAAGACTCCCGCCGTTAAATGGGTTAAAGAATGGTACTATTGGTTTATATATTTGACGAATCGTTTTGTACCTTTTTTATTTTTATTTTTTAGGCCAATCAACGTATCATGTTGCTTAGGGGTTTGAAGTTTGAATCTCGTGGAAGTATCTCATCGTATTTGTTTTCCTCCAAATTTTTGGCTTTTTTCATGTGCATATCTAGTTTGAACGTTTGCTTTCAAGTAATACAAATAGCTCGACTTGAAAGGCGATGAAACAAAATGATTTTCATGGAGCTCGACTGAAATTTCGGAGAAGTTATTAGGTTATGGAAAACTGGGATTGTAATTGGATACTGGAGAAGGAACTGGACATTTTTCATGCTCTGTACTGATTTTCCTTTTTTTTTTAATGCTTTTGATACCCGAAATTTTTTGTCAATATATAGTTTATGCCTGCGATTGTCGGTCAGTTTAGGCCCCTACACTATGCTGCTTAATAAGTAGCTGTCCTTGAGAAACATATTGGTTCTGTTACATCTTCACAGTTAGAATAGATTCTTGGAGATAACTGAAAAAAGGGGTTCTACTAGGCAGGCTTTATTAGTGGAGAAGCTAACTACCTTGCCTTGGACAACATGGAGTCCCGACGTTTGTTGTCTTATATTTCACTTAGGATACGGAAGTATTTTTGTTTTTTTGGCCAAACCTTAGATTATTTGATGAAAACTAATTTCTTCATGTTACATTTTATTTCTAGTAGTGGTTGCAGGTATGAGGAAAATCATACACGATGTTAGAAGTTTAGATCATGTCAATCATTTTATAACTTTTTTGTTAGTGACCTCTCATTTTGATACCTTGAAAAATTCACAATATTTAATAAACAAGGTGTCAAGACATTTGGTAGCCAGAGGAATCACAGGAAAAAGGGAGAGATTTTAAGATTTTTTTTATATATTTCCTTTTGCAATTTATTTTCCCCTCCTTTATAATGTCTGCATTATCCTTTTGTTGCCCTTAAGTTCTTTACTGCCCATTTTTGTCTAGTATGCTAATACTGAGAAAAATATACCTGCCTGCCAGGGTTCCCCAGGATGTTGTTGCCACTGGTGGGAAGTGCATGCTTTTCAGATGGGTAAGAGGTTTGTGCTCGTTCTACCTAGCTCTCTTTGATGAAGAACAACGTTATATAATATAAATATATATATAATATAAATATATATATATATAGATATAGATATTTGGCGAAGCACAAGGAGCATACTCTGATTTTAAAAAAATCTCTATGTATTCATGCGTTTCTTATTTGTAATTGTTGTCTTATTAAGTGTTCTGAGATGGTCACTTTGTTTTATTTTTCTTAGAGGATTCCTTAAAGTCCTTGAAGGATAAGGAAAAAGAACCATCAGTGCCTGAGCCAGAACCAGAGCCAACTACTGAAGTGCTTTTTCTCTGTAGCTATGACGGCTGTGGGAAAACTTTTATAGATGCTGGAGCTTTGAGAAAGCATTCTCACATCCATGGAGAAAGGCAATTTGTTTGTCACTATGAGGGTTGTGGAAAGGTGGTCGTTTTCCTTTTAGTTATTATCATTTTAAAATTGTAGACTCAGTGGGCATGTATTGCAAGCTTGCATTTTTTTGACCCAACTTGTAAGCCAACATTGAAGCCAGTTGCAAAGCTGATTCACTGTTCAATTAATATCTGGTGCATAGAGCACATGTACCAAAAAATAATATACCACTGTGAGGAAGTATCAATCAGTTTTGATTTTGTCCATAATTTCATAAGAAAAAGACCTGATTGCATTGTACATAATTTTGAGAAGCAGTGAAATACTTTCTGGGAAGCAGTTACTCCCTTTTGTCAAGGAAAATAAGTTGCATTCATCTTTGTTTCTCATTTGAGGAGTCTGATAGCTAATGGCCATAATGAAACAGATTACTAAGACTTAAAAAAGTGAAATTTAAACACTTTGTTTGCATGCCATGAATTCAGGTTTTAATGCATATTCATTGAGCGTGCCATATCAACATTTTAAATCTTTGATTTTATCTCATGATGCTAGTTGCTGGTTCCTTACTCAAATTTTTAAGTAAAGGTTTGTTTTATTGGCTGGCCGTACTGTGTTAAATGTGGATCCTTCATATTTCATATTAAGTTTATATGTTGAATGTAACAAATTTTAAGTAGACATTATGTCTCTGAGTTATAAGCTTTATTGCATATTATTGTTTACATTTTTGTTATATTTTGATTTGATATTATCCATATTTCAGATCGTGAGATCTACATTCAGCAGTGTTAAAATTATTCCTTTTCTTTTGCAGAAATTTTTGGATAGTTCAAAGCTGAAAAGACATTTTCTCATCCATACAGGCGAAAGGGCTTATGTATGTCCCATTGAAGGCTGTGGTAAGGTAATAAATCTATCCATTGAAGAAGTCTATTCTTATTTCTTCTAAACATAGTCTTTGAGTTGGTGTCAATTGTTCTGTTTCTTGATCTCGTGTCTGCTTATATGGATCTGTGACATGATTCTGTTAGTGTGGTGCTTGTTATTTTCTTCTGTGAAATGTGAAATAGCGGCTTTATTTAATGAATTTGACATGAAGTTGGTTTATGGTTCACAATATTATGGTAGCGTATATTTATTTATTTATTTGAAATATATCCACAAGTACTGTGTAATTTACTGTCCAAATCTTGTGATTATATAAATTGTTGTTTTATGATATGAAACTCCCAGATTTTTGTTCTCTGTATTAGTCTCTCATGAGCTCTAATATTGTATATTGCTTCAGATAATGCCTTTATGTGAATGTATGCTTGTGCCAATGACATCTTGACGCAATATGTATTTGCAGGCCTTCTCCCTCGATTTCAACCTAAAGTCTCACATGAAGACACATTCACATGAGAACTATCATGTCTGCAAATACCCAGATTGTGGAAAGAGATATGCTCATGAATACAAGCTGAAAAATCACATTGCAGCACACCATGAAAAGGTTGGGCATTCTATTACTATTATTCATCGACCACTTAATCTATACACAATAGTTTATGCTAATAGTTGCACGTCCGGCTTTGTTTCTTTGTTGGTCTTGATATTAACATGATACAAGCATGCTCGACTTGTGTGTATCCTAGAATTGATACCTTTATACAAGTGAATGGCGTTATACCCTTGCCAAGTGTTACTTGGTCTGGGTGCAAGAATTAATAAATGAGCTCAAGTCAACTTGATAGTAAAAAGACACAATTCACATCTTTGGATTGTATAGTTGACAGTTAAGACGTTTTTTCTGTTAGTTTCAATTTTTAACAAGATAGATTTAGGTCCACAGGTCAGACAATATGAACAAAGAATATTCAATTTTAAATTACTTTGGGGAACTGTGTGGATGAGGGGATTTAATGAGAATGGGGCTTGAGTTCGAAATTTGTTATCCACATGTGCCTGAGTCTGAGGATGCTTCAAATACTTCTGTTTTGGGCTGCGTCAGCGTTTAAGAGGGTCCTAGTGCCCTGTTTGGTATCATTGAGCTGGGGGGGGGGGGGAATCACTCACTCACAATGCTTATTATGTGCTTGTAATCATTAATTAACTATTTTCATTTCCTCATTACGTTGTAATAGCGGGGACCCAAAATTATTTGCTATATTTAAAATCACTTTTTCTATTTTTAGTTTTAATTCTACTTCTATTCTTCCAATTCCGTGTGTCAAACTGGTTCAGTTCCTACCCATGATCACTCCTACTACAAGATGTGGATATTGAAAAACTTTGACTGCTCCAGTTATTGGTGGAGTTAAGCATGTAGAAACGTTGATTTATATCAGAAACTTCGGAAGAATTAAATTTTCATTTTTATTCTTACAGAATGGGTCTGTGGATCCGAATGGGACAAAGTACAATACACCACCTACAGAGAAGCCAACAAAATCTACAAAACCTTCTGGTGGGGCTTATGCTTCTGCATCATCTGATCGCCCTTTCGTGTGTCCTTATGAAGGGTGTGAAAAGGCCTATATCCATGAATATAAACTTAAACTCCATTTGAAGAGGGAGCATCCTGGGCATGGCGATGAAAATGTTGCAGAGAATGCTCAGGCTAATAACAATGCTGACAATGAATTGGATGAAGCGAGCGACCAAGATGCCTATGGTGGGAAACGATCAAATGGTAGAATTCAGAAGCAAAGTAAGGCCAAACCAAACTTGAAGTTGCCTCCTTCGAAAATTGCACGGCGCAAACCATCGGCAACACCCTCTTCTGCGACCCCGATGAAGGTGATTAAGAAACCTTGGCCAGTGAAGGAAGAAAACTTTGAGGAAGAAGACAGTGAAGAAACAGAGGAGGATCGGGACAACGTTGAAGATGGATGGAGATATGCAGGAAACAACGAGGATGATGATGAAGAAACAGAATATGAAGACTGAATTTAGGTGTCTTGTGTGAAACATTTTTTGTTTTTTTTCATTTTCATTTTTACCTTTCTCAGTTTCACTATTTTAATCTATTGTTACACCCAGAATATTTTTGGATGAATATTATAAATATAGTTTCACTGTTGATACCAGAATCTCTGGAGCCTAATTTTATGACTGATTTTTTCTGCACTATTTCACCCACCTTTTTAAGTAACGTGTTCTGGGTTTGATGGAGGGTGCGAGTGTTTAATCTAATACCTCCTTTGACATAGTATTGATGGACATGTTTAATTTTGGGAATATATTTTTTTTGATATCACTATTCACTAGTACGGATTTAAGTGTTAAAATTTCCCACAAGTCATGTTTATATTTTTTTTTTTCATGTAAAAATGAAAGAATTCGTATTCATATGTGAATAAAGTAAGGCACATTTTGGGAGAGCATCATTACAAAGTTCGATTCAAAGGTGTGCATGGAGAGTAATGATTAGGAGAGAACAATATTTTAAATGGTGCTTAGATTTAGCAAGGAAATAATCTTATTGTTATTGATTGTGGAGATACCTTGAAAAACCAAAAGGAAAAAAATAAAAATAAAAAAGTAAGACGGCTAAATTTACCTTAATTAGTGGCCTCTTGCATTTAAACTGAACTTCATAAGTTTGCTATGTTTATTGTTCAAAGTCCAGTGAAATGTTTGGGTAAATATTGAAGGAATAAAAAATGATAGTATGAAACATGGAAAAAATTATAATATTGATAACATAACTTCGCATTAGTTTTATATTGTTTTTGTTTCAGGCCAGAAGCTTTTATATTTTGTATTGATTCTGAGCAAAATTGTTCACTGATTTGGGAAACACACTAATTGATTCACAATCACACAATTGTAATGCTCAGTTATTATAAAATTTTTATGTCAATAAAATCGAATTATATCTGAATAAAATTATTCATATCATAAATTTTAATTGATTGATTATTTAAAAAAGTAATTTTTTTTAGAAGAATATCTTTAACAAACCTCTTAACTTTTGGATAAGTAATTTTATGATATATATTAAGTATATAAAATTCAATATATCTTAGAATTTTTGTTGCAATGCTTAATAAAGTTTGTTAATAATAATTGTCATAATTTTTTTATTAAATATAAAATGAAAGCAAAATAAAATGATATTAATACTTTAAAAGCATGTATAACATTATCTTATTAAAAATAAGTAGATTCTATGACAACTATATCTTCAAGCTGTTGAAATAGTTGTCTATATATATATATATATAAAAGATTATATACAAAATTAAAATGATAATTTCATTTAATATTTTATAATTTTTATAATGTGTCAACTTATGAGAGTTGAAGATATATAACCCTTACATTTTATTATAAAAAAAATTAAAAAGTTAGGAAGGCCTTGGCCTTATCGGTTCCTCGTTTCTCGTCTCCTGGCTAAGGGAAACAATCTTTACTTTTGAAAGATAGGGCCTACCCCTTATACTCATAGAAAAAAGGCTGGGAAAATATTAAATACAAAGAAAAATGTGAGAATATTTATTTAATATTTAAGGTTTAGATGAAAGAATTGGGATTGACATACATTTAGGGATGTTTTCGTGCTTTTCACAAATGTTGATTCAAAAACCCTATAAAAGCATATTGGAAGCAATATTTTGAAATCTTGATGTTGAAGCAAAAACAATAATGGGTCATGATTTTTATGGTTAAATTGGTTAGATTAACAGTCGAACCGATAACATAAAAATAATATTTACATACATAAATATATATAAATAAAACATTAATTTTCATGGTTTAACCAGTTAAACTAGCTGGAGACACATCGTCATGTCAGGACTCATGAACTTTTGATTTCAATGCTAAAGGTTGAATCACTAAAGTTGAAGTCAAAAACTAGAGAAGAGGTTAGAGATTGAGCCTGAGTCGTGGAAAAGAGATTAAAGAAGAGAAGACAGAAGAGAACTAGATATTAGAGAAGAGAAATCATAAATTTGAGTGACTTAGCCTAAATTTCTCTTCTTTTTTTAATTTTTTTAGCTTTGAACTGAGTTGACCTGCTCTGGTCTTTAGGTCAACTTGAGTCCATTCAATTCAAATACTAAATTGATTTAATTAATTGGATCAAATTATTTTAATTAGCGAGTGGCGGTTGAACCGTTCGGTTCGGTACGGTTTTCAACACACTAATTTTAGGTTTGAAAAGAGCTATCTAAAAAAATCCTTCATTGCATATAAAGAAAAGCACCAATAGAAAAACGTACTACCATTTTAAAATTGTAAGTTATTTTTAACTAATTTACATTTCAAATAAGTTAGTTAATGACCTTTAAATCTATATATTATTTTTTTTTTTTATTTAATTAGGATATCTTAATTAAAAAAATATTATTAATTAAACCATCATTTAAAAGTATTGTTTTAGAAAAAAAAACCCGAGACATAAAAACCTTACATTTTTAAACATGATACTTAAAAAATACCTTAATAATTTTGGGTGGGGTGAGTATTTTATTTTTCTAGAAGTTTTGAGAACTTTCGGTATACATGAAGAAATGTGAAGAATATAAATTAAATTCAATTAATGAGATATGGATTTAATAGAGTTAAATAGGAAAAATGACAAAGAACAAAATGAGAGGTTCAATGTTCAGCCATTAAATGAAAGTATGAGGTGCATGAATCAACTTTGGCAAGAGAGCATTCGTAAATGGGAAAAAAAACCCACCAAAATAATGCTAGTATTTTATTCATGTGATAGTTGACCAAGTGGAGTAAAAATGAATATAATAAAAATTATAAAAAAAAGAAAATCATATTATTTATAAATATTAAATAGTTCAGCTAATTGGCTCATAGCATACATAATGTGATGAGCATAGAATAGAAATTCGGGTCGATACACTTCGTTAAACTAACAAATTGTTAAATCAGAGAAGTTTAATAAAATATTTTATTTGTGACCAGTTTAATTATATTTCAATTATGATTTTGATTATTAACCCCTTGAATCAATGTATTGACATTTTAATGATTAGTTCGACTTTCAATATTATAGTAATAAACAAGCATAAAAATAGAGAAGGGTTAAAAGGAGTGTCAAAGTAGTGTTCAAATAAAATGTAGATACACTTATGGTTATCAAGAAAAATGATCTTAGAATAATATATTTTTACCATCAGAAGATATATTTTCAAAAATTTGACCTATAAAACAACAAATGTATTTTGTCAAGGCTCCAAAACTTTAAATGTTATTCTTATTCACTTCAACACACTCAATTAATTGAGATACAGAATATCTTGATGAATTTCCAAAAGACAATGTATAATCACTCCAAAAGCAGACATTGTTCGACAACAATACAATGAATCCATTAATTTCTCAAGAATACCCAAATTAAACAAGGAAATTAAAGTTTTTGTTAACCACACAAATGTTTAGGGATTTAAGGGACATACCTCAGCTAATATTTCAAATTTAATTATTTCAATCATCCATATCTTATTATTATATTTTTATTTGAATTGAACCATTATTTTGTATAAGTTAATTGTTATTATTCTCCATTTTGCTTTTTTAAAGAAAATTAAAAAAGAAAATATAAATGACCTAACTTAAAAAGCAACTATCATCTACATTTTACATGTATTCTAGATGTAAACGTCTTTGGGTCCTCATTTGAAAATAAAATAAAATATAAAATTATAATAGGAGTCATTTTACAAGTTAAAAAAATGTAAATTTATTTTTTAAAAAAGACCCATGCAACAAAACAATCTAGTTGTCATAGCATGCACTCACACATTAAAGAAAAATATATTCTAAAACCAATTTCGGAGTGGCTTATTCTCTTTAACTACCAAACCTTTATTTATTTATTTCTTTTTTTATGTAGGAGAAATTAATTACAATCTTCTAGATCGAAGACCCATTAAATATATATTTTTTAAATTTAAAAGTACATACTTATCCTTCTTAGAATAAACAGATACATTAATCTGACCATAATATGTAATAAAAGAAAAGTCAAAATTATAAATATTATCATAAAAAAAAAACTTGACTAATTACATAAACATATTATTTCTGCACATGAATTTTAGTTAACTGTGAGGATCCGCTCCCCTCTATATAAACCATCGTCTCCTTGTCGCATCTCCGTCAAATCAAACATTAACAATGTCTGGAATTGATCTCAACGTTCCGGCGACTTTCAAGCAAGAGGTGCTATACAAGGAATGTCTGCGAAACCATGCAGCCTCTCTCGGCCATGTAGCTAACGATGGCTGCTATGAGTTTCTCAAACCTAGAACAGACAATACCGTTGACGGTGGTTCCCAAGATGAATTGTTTTGTGCAGTTTGCAAATGCCACCGGAACTTTCACCGGAAACAAGTTGTTTATACTCCTATCATGGAAGTTGACGTGGCAGTCCCCCAGACGACCCACCAGCAGCCAAACTTTCTGACGACAACAGGTGGAGGGCCATCAGCTGATGATATCAACAATAACAACACCATGGAGGAGCCGGCGGTGGTGCCACCACTGAGGAGGAGGAGGAAGACCACCATGATCACGGCGGAGCAACAGAGCCGGCCGGAAAGTTTGATTGAGGAGTAGTGGTTTTGAGTTGTTTTTGCTTTTGGTTGTCTATAATTTGAATAAAAACCTGTCTGTAGCTGAAATGCTTTGGTTTGTTTGAGTGCACTTTGAATTTCCTCAACGAGGAGTTCTTTTCGGGTCTAATTTGAATTATCGTTTTGTTATGTTATTTATCTTTGATGATTAGCTTGTTTTTAAGTTTGTTCTTGATATTTTCTGGACATTTCTTTGCTTACTATTCCCATGGCTCGTTTGATCAGTATGTTGTATCTGAATTTTTCTTAAAAACAAACATCGATTAAGAGATATATTATTTTTACAAAAATTAATGTTCAAATATTTTTTTTGGGTAAAATTAAAATAAAACTGAGAAACTAAAATCACTTGAACTCATTTTACGAAATTAATTGAAATGAATAGAGTTATGCAATTCAGGACTTTCTAGTACATTTTTAAAGAAGTGAACTCGAAGTTATAAAATATGATTTTAAGAATAGTTAATTAATTTAATGATGAAAATGTCAAACACAAATTTTTATTTTATTTATTAAATTATAAATCGACAGTGGAAAAGCATAATACAAAAACATGCATGAAGGAAATTTTGAATATCTTACTTTGGTAGAAATGCAGCATTTTGATAACTGTGTTTTCACACATTTAATTCAATATTTTTCTTGGCTAGTTAACTTTTGTTTCAGACATGGTGATTGAATATCAGTGTCGATGATATGAAATATGTTTTAAATAATAGAGGTGTGCAATAATAGAGTGATAATATTGAAAAAAAAAACCCATAAAAAAATAAGGAGAAAGTTAGTAAGATTTTTATATATACATATACATACATACATATATATTTATTTATTTATATATAACCAACTAGTTGATTATGTTAGATTCAAATATTATCAGACTCAATTGGGGTAGCTCTTTAAAAGTCATTTTCTATATTCATAATCATACAGATTTCAACTCAAGATCATACTGATGATATTGGACATCCATCTTCATTTTAATTTATTATAAAAAATCTAACAATGTGCACTATTTATCTGTCATGAACAATGTAATTCAATGAAATTTACGAATATTTTAGATGAGTTAAAATTAATATTTTATAAGATTATAAAAAATTAATATTTTATAAGATTATAAAAATTAATATTTTATAAAATATATAATTAATGTGCATAACAAATTCTATTCCAAGTTATGTGTTACATATAAATAATAGATAATGCAGTTTTGCTGTTTAGTCTTTCCCTGTTATAAAAAAAATCATAGATAATTTAAGTCATTATATATGCGTATGTATCTTCGTAGCTATTGTTTGCTAAAAGGTATATCCATCTTTGGTTAAAATGTTAATAAACAAGTATTGGTGCACATCGATGGACATTATTAATAAAACCAATGACTATATCTATCAAAACGAAAATTATTATTATTATTATCAGACAATTAAAGCTTGACAAGGAGAAACTCCCCAAGTTTAGATTATTTTGTAAGTATTATGCTATAGTTAGTTAATTAGCTATCTCATAAACTGAAATTTTACTTATTAGGTTTAGGTTGTCATTTGCTCATGAATTAAATTTGAAGGAAATTGTCTATGTATAACCTAAATTTGCAAAGGAACTAACTTTTTACTACTAAGTTAACAAATTTGTCCATTGGAAGAGGTGGTGAATACATTTAATGCTCAATCGTGACTTGAACATGATTAATAAAGCTAATTATACTAGAAAATTTGTGAAAATTTGAAAGTTTATATGGGAGTTGACTTTTTAATTTCATGAGTTAAAGGAATCCAATAAAGTGAGTCAAAGTTCAAGTTAATTGTGTACATTAACCTTGTTATTGTTCTCACATTCACCCCCCCTGTGTGTAATAGAGCCTCCTTTTTGAACCCACAAACAGAATTAATAGCTTCTCTGTACTGAAAAAGAAAAAAGAAAAACAACTGGGGATGCATGTAAACAATGAAGTACATGTTATACCAATAATATTTACTCCCTCCATTTAAAAATATATAATATTTTTAATCAAATTTCACACTTAATAAAGTAGTTATTTGTTTTTAAACTAACTCTATCTTTTCATATTTAACCATATTTAATATAGTATTTTACCCTAAAAAAATATAAAGTAATCTATGATACTTTTGAGAAGAAAAGATAATGATTATACCTTAAAAAAATTAAAAATACTTTTTATTTTTTAATATTCAATTTCTCTAAAAATACTTTATATTTTTAAATAAAAAGAATAGTATTTAATATGAAGAATCTAAATTTAGTGCCCATTTGGATTTCAGTTGGGTATAATAGATTATGAAAATAATTAATTAAGTGATAAATTTTAATCATAATTAATTATGTTATAACGCAATCTGTTTGGATACTATTTTTTTTAAATTAATTTTTAAAAAATTAAAGATGTGTGGATAATTTAATCAAAATCAAATTTAGCTATATAAATTATTATATAATTTAATTCTTAAATACCAAACATTAATTTTTTGAGCACACAAAGTTTGAATTTTATTGAGAAAAAAAGTTAAAAGAAAAGAGTTTGATTTTATTTTTATTTAATGTTGTGCCTTTTTTTTAATTTTTTCTTGAGCTTTTTTTTTTGTAATTTTCTCTAATACTTTTGATCAACATTTCACCAAAAGCTGATTAAGAGAGCTTACGAAAAAACGTCCGTCTTAGTCCATAATTGATTTTTGACTTTTTTTAATTGTTTGGATAACTTGGCTCAAAAAATTGATTTTGAAGTAAAAAATTAATTCTTTCTCTTATCCAAACACACACAATTGTTGAGTTATGATTTTTAAAGAATTTAATTATTAAACGACAAAGCACATTGTCAACAAGTTTGTTTGACTGTGGATCTTTTGACTTTGTAAAATCAACATATATAAAGAAAAGAAAAGAATGCAATTAATACTTCTTCAGTTTTTACATATAAAATATTTTTAATTAAATTATATAAATTAATAAAAATTATTTATCTAATTAAAAGTATAACAACATTTTAATTTTATCCTTAATTATTATAAATAAAAAATAAATATTTTTTAAAGTACATTAATAAAAATATTTATTTATTTTTTTAATTTAATAAAAATATAATAGTCTATTCAATAAAAAATATGTTAATAACTTCTTCTATTCAAGAATAAAAAAATTTTAAAAAATTTTTTATATATGAAGACGGAAGGAGTAAGAACTAATGCCGATATCCAATCAAATTCTCTTGTATAACTCGTTTTGTGAAATCAAGGCTTTATGACTATATGGATTATCCATTTTTTTATTTATCCAACTACTACATAAAATCATAAAAGTATGTTTAGTTCATGTATCAGTTCGGAAATGTTTGAAGGAGCATAAATTAAAAAAAGCTATAAAAAAAGAAGGCCTTATTTATATGGGAAAATTTTAATGAAGACCCCTTGACCTAACTTAATTTTAATCAAAACCCTTAAAATTTTAAAATTTCATTGCACATGCGGAGGACTGAAATAAAATTAAAAAGCTGAATGAAATGAATTATTGTCCATGTTGATATAAACAATTAATGTAAGGAAAATGAATAAGTGATGTATGAAAAATGAACAATTAATGTCGGTGAAATTTGTAATTCTTATTAATAACATAACACTATTATGAATATAAACAAGTGAAGTTATGCACGTGAACAACTCGTGTTGGAAAAATAAACAATTAATGTATAAAAAAATAAATAACTTTTTCACATGTGTAGTAAAATTTTAAGAATTTTAACTGATATTAAGTTAGGTCAAGGGGTTCTTATTGAAATTTTTTCTATTTATATTTCTTAAATGGTATTAAAATATAGAAGCGGGCCTTAGGATTTTACACATAAAATATTTATCATGTTCTTGTTATTCATAAAGTAAATAAATAACATGAGAAGAAAAATTAAGAAGAATTGGATGCAGGCACATGCTTTTCAAAAACTGTATTAGACAAAAACCGTATTAGAGTGTGTTAAGTTTTTTAAGTAGGGGTAGTGGCTTAGGGTGGGTTTGTTAGCTTCTCTGTGTTGATGATAAATTTAATTTGTATTGGCATGATCGTATGAATATTGTGATAGAAGTTGTCGGGAATTCTGCTATCAAGCTTTAAAAGATCTTCAAGAAGTGTGCATGGGGCTTACTTGGGTACGCATCCAGTATTAATTCTGGGTCTAAAATTATAGTTTTAAAGAATCTTATTCAAACACTCTTAATTTTTCCAAATTCCATTTCCCTTCCAAACATCATATGGTTATTTAAATATAGAATTGAGGTTTTTGATTGTGCATATAAAATATTTATTATGTTTTTGTTATACATAAGGTAAATAAATGACATGAGAAGAAAAATCAAGAAGAATTTGATGTAGGCATAGGCTTTTCAAAAACTGTATTGGAGTGTGAGAATTTTTTTTTTTTGGATTTAAATCATCTAAAGTTGAGATTGGTAAATTTTTGTGAAGTTTCTCTTTTTAAGGAAGAGAGAGAAAATTTTATATTTTTATAAAAAATAATAAAATAAGAGAAAATACTAAAAAAAAAAACTTCACTTAAATTCATCAATTTCAACTTTTTGAGGATTTAAATCCTGCTTTTCTAAATAGGGGTGGTGGCTTAGGGTGAGTTTGTTAGCTTTTACTTTTGGATGACTCTTACACATGTTTGAGCTGTGTTGATGATAAACTTAATTTGCATTGGCATGATCATATGAATATTGTGATAGAAGGTTGTTGGGAATTCTGCTATCAAAGCTTGATCTTCAAGAATGTGTATTGGGGCCTATTTGGATACACAATTAGAATTAATTTTGGGTCCATAATCATAATTTTCAAAAATCTTATCCAAATACTCTTAATTTTCTCAAATTTCATTTGCATTGTAAAACTCCATTTGATGTAAGTTATTTTTTTTCTCCATTTGAGAATCAATTCTACGCATTTGAGCATTTTTCATTTTTTTATTCTTATAATTGATTCTAAATAATTATTCAAACATTTTCAATTATCAAAATCAATTTTACATAATATTATCTAAGTATCATCATATTTTATTAATAATTTTTTTATAATCAATTTTTTCTAATTAAAATCCAAACACACCCTTGTTGATTTTTAAAGCTCAATTGCAAATCTATAGAGTTTAAAAAGTCGGTCATTCTTTCCTAATATTTCACTTTTTTTAATCCATATTCCCATTTTTCATAAATATGAAAAAAATACAACATAATTAACAAATATATATGAAAAAAAAAGTTTACATTGAGAATTTCAACTTTTGGTTACTGGAATCACTAACATCCAAAAATAGAAGCTAACAATCCTACCCTAAACCACTGCTGCTAAAAAAAAAAAAAACTGATCACAATCTAATGCACATTTTCAAAAGCCTAAGCCCACATCCAATTCTTCTTTTTCTTCATGTTTTACTAATTTCATGCAATAAAAACATAATAAATACTTTAATTTATATGCAAAATCTTTAACCCCTTCCATATTTAAATTGCCATTCGATTTTTAGGTCATGGTATTACAACATAAATAACGCCTTCTTCTTCTTCTTCTTCTTTTTTTTTGGGTAGCTTTTTATTTACCCTCCACCTCACATTAATGCATAATGATAAATGAACCCAACACACTTTTTTGGGCTAAAAAAAAAAAGGAACCCAACATTCTTTTTTGATTTTACACGATGGTTAAAAAATTAAAAGTATCCTTTAGCTTTTTTTTTTTTTAATATCACCCTCCAAATACATCGGATGTAATGTCATTTTTACAAAGTCAGAGGATCCAAACTCAAATAAATATGTTGACATTGTGTTTTGTCGTTTCACAATTAAATTTATTAAAGACCATATCTCAACCATTAAATTTAGATTCTGTGTACTAAATATTATTTTTATAGCAAACTTTATTGTTTACATGCGTCTCCAATTACTTTCTATTGAAAAGAATGAGAATAAAAATTGAAAGAAACGTTAGAGGAGCTATTAATTCTTTTTTTGTGTTCAAGGGAGAGTCTATTAGGTATAGAGGGAAAGAATGTAAGAAAAAGGTCAATGTATATAATTCTCTTGAACTTTGACTCACTTTATTTGATTTATTTAACTCATGAAATTAAGAAGCTAAGTCAACTCATATAAACTTTTAAATTTCTACAAATTCTCTAGTAATTAGAAAATTCTCTAATTTACCAGTAAAAAGTTAGTTCCTTTGCAATATATAGACAATTTCCTACAAATTTATAATTCATGAGTATAAATAACAACCCAATCCTATTTTTGGTTTATGAGATAGCTAATTAACTAACTATAGCCTTATACTACTTACTGACATTAATGACGACGACGACGATAAATTATAGTCCTTGGTTTTTTTTTTTTTTGGGTATAATAGTCCTTGGTTTTATTAATAATGCCTGTCAATGTGCTTCAATGCTACTTTTTGACAGTCTTACCAAAGACTATTATACTTTTTGTAAAAGTTGGCCAAAAAAAATATACTTGTTAAACAATCTAATATAGACTAATTTAGAAAAGGAAAATGATCAGTACAAGACTAAAAAAACTAAACTAGATAAGAATACAAATATCATAACAAGTCATACAAAATAGAATTATATATATATATATTATAAAATATTGAATTAATTACATTGTTCATGACTATAAGATTAGCTTGAAGTTATAGTATGTCATGTTAATTTGTATTATTGTATTAGAAATATAAAAATTTTCTGCTATTATCCCCTTCTAATTTTCTACCCCTTTCCTCTTCTATAGTTTTATTTCTTAGAGTATTATGTCTCTCTCTCTCTCTCTCTCTCTCATATTTCAGCTTCTTTTTTTCATAACATATTTCATGTTGATAGTGATATTTAGTAGTTATGACTGATTGAACAAAAGTTAACTAGCAGTAAAAAAGATATTGGATTAAATGTGTGAAAATGCGAAGTTATCAAAATGCTGCATTTCTAACAAAATTAAGATATTTAAGTTTTCTTTCATGTTTCTGTATTATAATTTTTTAATCTATTTATAATTTAATAAATAAAAGTAAAAATTTTAAAAATATATTTGTGTTTGACTTTTTTCTGGTCACTAAATAAAGAAACTGTTTTTAAATCATATTTCATCAACTGGATTAATTTTACTTCTTTGATGTATACTATAAAATCCTAAATCGTAAAATCATATTCATTTCAATTATTTTTTTCATAATAACGTAAAGTAATTTTATTTCATCAGTTTTATTTTAAATTTTGAAAATTTTTATTAACAAGACAGATCTCAATCGATATTTGTTTCTAATAAAATTTCAATTATAAAATAATGATCAAATGAGCAATGGGATGAAGGGAATAGTAAGGAAGAAAATTATGTAAGAAAATCCAGGACAAACTCAAAACAAGCAAGTTATCATAGAGAAATAACATAAAAAAGATGATGAAAAAATATTAAGAACTCCACATTGACAAATTCAAAGTACACTCAAATAAACCAAAGCACTTAAAGTTACGAAGAGATTTTTATTCAAATTAAACACTATAAAAGATCGCCAAAAGCATAAGCTAAAAAAAAAAAAAAATCCAAACCACTAATCCTGTGTGAAAGCAAACAACGCTCTAATTTTTCCCTCCATGGGTTGTTCTTTATTTTGATGCATAAAAGCAAGTGAAATTTCTCTATATGTTTACCATCAGATTTCAAAGATCCATATAAAACATGGCATAATAATAATCATATGGTTATAAATTGTGTCATGTTGAATCTTGATAATAGATGGATACAAAATTATTTCTGATAGCAAACACTTAGAAGAAACATCACTTGAGATTCTTCATATATATATATATATATATATATTTTTTTTTCAATCACACGGCGACGGCGGCAGCCGCGGCTTGATCCTGGTTCATCCTTCGCCGGTTATTGTTGACCCATACAATGAACATTCTACGACTGATCCCTATTTGCATGCAAAAATTGAGAATCTCTTCCTTATCAGCTCTTTTAGGCCTCCAACCCAACCTTTCAGCGAAAATCCCCATTCGGCTCTGTTGCTCTGCCGTGAACATCGTCCTCTTCTTCCTCTTCCTCCGTCCTGCGATGTTGTTGTTATTGTTAACATCGACATTTGCTGGCGATCCTCCACGTCTTGCCGGAAAGTTTGGTTGCTGGTGGTGGTGGATTTGCATGATAGGAGTATAGATAACTTCTTTCCGATGAAAGTTCCGGTGGCATTTGCAAACTGCACAGAGAAACTCATGCTGGGAGTCACCGTCAACGGTGTTGTTTGTGTTAGGTTTGAGAAACTCATAGCAACCATCGTTGGCTACAAGGCCGAGAGAGGCTGCATGGTTATGCAGACACTCCTTGTAGATCACTTCTTGCTTGTAAGTCGCCGAAACATTTATGTTAATATCAGACATTGTTAATGTTGGACTTGACGGCGACATGAGAAGGAGGCGTTTTATATAGAGAGGAGTGGATCCTCACACAATTAGTTAAAGTTCGTGCAAAGAAATATGCTTATGTAATTAATCAAGGTTTTTTTTTAATACTATAATATGTATAATTTTGACTTATATCTTTTATTATGTATTATGATCATTTAAAAAAATATTTTAATTTAATGGGTCATCTAGAAGAATGTAGTTAATTTCTCCTACATAAAAAAGGAAGGTTTGGGAGGCATGGAGAATAAGCCATTCCGAAATTGGTTTTAGATTTTTTTTTAATTGTTCATGCTATAGCCACTAGATTGTTTCATTGTTTTTATTGCATGGGGTTTTTTAAAAATAAATTTACATTTTTAACTTGCTATAAATTTCATATTTTATTTTAATTCGATTTTCTAACGAGGATCCAATTAAAGAGCTTATATCTAGTATACATATGAAATGTGCATAATAGTTGCATTTTATTCCTTTTAAATTTCATTGTATTTTCTAATTTTTAAAATTTCTTAACTTATATAAAGCAAAATGAAAAATAATAACAATAAACTTATTCAAAATAATGGTTCAAGTTATATAAAAATATGATTATAACATATGGATGATTGAAATTAAATTTGAAATATTAGCTGAGGTATGTCTATTAAATTCCTAAACATTTGTTTGGTTAACCAAAACTTTAATTTCCTTATTTATTTTGGGTATTCTTGAGAAATTAATAGATTCATTGTATTGTGGTGGAACAATGTCTACTTTTGGAGTGATTGCATTGTCTTTTGGAAATTCATCAAGATATTATGTATCTCAATTAATTGAGTTGAATTAATAAATAATAATATTTAAAGTTTAAGAGCATTGACTATATACATTTTTCCATTTTGACAAAAAAAATCATAAAAAATTACCTTTTTTTCCTTATAAGCTAAGATTTATAAGTTGCAACAACAACAATTAACAAAGAAGTCATGTTTTTGTAAGCGATATCAGCTACGTGAATCCCATAACAACATTATATTATAAACAATTATAAACCAAGATTGAGTTGCGATGAATATATATAGATAGACTAATACGAATTGACACAAATTAAGGACTACAAAAAACTTGCTTAGCGGTGGCATCCCCCATGTCCTCTAACACAATGAAATAATAACAACAATAATTTACGAGGGGGTCAAATTAGCTTATTTAATTAGAGTTTTGAGTTTGAATCTTAAGATATGCAATTATATTAAATAAATATGTCAAAAATATTTTTGAGATAGCTGTGAGTCCGCCTTGATAATAATAGTCCCACAATATAGAAGTTTGGACTAATTTGAGCAAGAGATGGTAATACCCTGAGTTTCCCAAGATATTGGGGTGATGAAAAAAATTATTTATTTTGTTTTATATAATTTCTTAATATTTTTTTTAAATATTACTACCATTATTATAGAATCATAGAATCAGGCATATATGATGCCTGATATATGGCAGTTATTCAAAGAATTGTCAAATACGTGGAGGTAAAATTTTGAAATTTAGCTTATTTGGCAGTTCACATAGGAAACTGTCACACTTAATGAACAATAAAGTTACAAGTTTGACAATTACGTAAGGGAACCATCAAATTGTTGAAAAATAATTTAATTTAAAATTAAAATTTAATATATTTGATGGTTGTCTTATTGAACCGTCAAACTTTGTGTAATATATTTGGCAGTTAAAATGGGCAACCATCAAACATGGTGATTTAAAATCCACCCCTTCTGCATCCTTGAACTCACCTGCCGTTCTTTTTATCATCTCTCTTCTCTCTCTTCTCTTTATGATTTAGTAAGATTCTAGCATACCCAATTTGATTTCACCTTTCCTAGCTCGATTTCGGCCCATCCCCTTCATTTTAGGCATACCCCATTTGCTCTCGAGTATTATCTTCATTATTTTCAATTTCACCTCCTCCACAGGCATTCAAAGGTTCATCAGCGTTATTGGGCTTCTTAAATTTAGGTAAGCATGCTTCTTTCACCTTCCTCTTTCTTTCTTACTCTCCACTGCTAGAATTTACGAATGCATAATAATTTTAGAAATTTGAAGAGAACTATGGGATTAATTTGAATCCACTTTATGGGATTAATTTGAATTGTTGTTATGGGTTACTTTAAAATGCCTATTGGACCAAGAATGTATGATTAGTTTGTTAGTTTTATTGGTGATTTATTTTTAGGCAAATTTAAAGCAATTTTTTGAATTATATTTTGTTTGATTATTATATGTTTTATTTTATTGTATTGTGAATTTCGTTGTTATTGTTATGGTTGAATTAGGTTGGATTGAATTGTATAGGGCTGTGAAATTTAGTATGAAGTGATGGCAAAACACCTCAAAAAAGTCACATTTTTAAGCTGTTATGCTATTAGATTTTGATCTAAAAGTAATTAAATTTGACATAGTTGTAAATTTTCGTGGTTGATTTGGGCTGAATAATTATGTTTACTAGATTGAATGGGGATGAAATTAAGTATGAATAGAGGGCATATGCTTGAGAAAGTCTCATTTTCAAATGGCTATACTGCCGAATTTTTATTTAATACTTAAAATATATACTTAATTTCTCAAAAAACTAAGTATAGTTGCAAGTATTTATTTTACTTTAGCTTAAAAATGGATTATGTTGCATGTAGTGGCTCATGACTCATGGATGCTTTTAAGTAGTTAATCTTTCTTGTGTTTGTCTCAAGTATTCCTCCAATATGATTGAGCCACTCATTACATTTTCTAAAATAATTTTTGATAAATTAGGATTATGAATAAGACATGGATGTCTGTGAATCGAGTATCAAAGGAATGTTTGGATGGGGTTAAAGAATTTATTAGGTTTGCACTTGAGCATGAAAATTACCATAACATATTGTGTGCCCTTGTGTAAGATGTGGTATCTTGAAGTGAATTAGCAAGAGTGAGTTGGAAGATCATTTAGTGTGTCACAGAATTGATCAAACTTACAACTGTTGGTATAAGCATGGTGAAGCAAGGAATGTGACCAAAAGTAGTTGTAGTAGTTTGTGTCACATGATTTTGACACAAATACAAAAGAGGTAGACCGTGTTGAAGAGATGGTTAATGCGATTGAGGAAGAACTTAAGGGCTATCCTAAAATACTTGAGAGGTTGAAAAATGATGTAGACACCTATGTACAATGATTGCACTAAATTCTAAAAATTTACCACTGTTTTGAGATTGTATAATTTAAAAGCGAGGGGCGGTTTGACTGATACAATCTTCATATAATTTCTTTCACTTATTCATGAAATGCTATTGAAGGATAATAATCTTCCAACTTGATCATACGATGCAAAATTGGTCATGTGATCTATGAGTATGAGCTATGAGAAGATACGTATTTATCCCAACAATTGTATTTTGTTCAAAAATGAATATGCATCGCTAACTCATTATCCTAAATGCAATGCATTACATTATAAGGATAATGGAAAGAGTTTGGAGAAGGCATTGGTACTTTCCCGTAGTATCGAGATTTAGATGTTATGGCAGTGCTGTTGATTCAAAAAAATTTAACGTGGCATGCAAAAGAGAGGATTAAAGATGAGAAGCTTTGGCATCTTGCTGATTCTCCTTAAAATTTATCTTTAATGTCAATTGCTTTGTCTAAGTATTTTGGGGCAACGAACAATAACCTTTCAAAGAACTATTATTCTTGGCACCTTACATGTAAGGTGAAAGTTAGTTACTTGAACTTGTCAAATTAATTTCACTTTAAGAATTTCATTTTATAACATTTTTAAATTCTCTTAAGAACCTTAGATGTTAATTGCCATCCAGTCAGTTGGTATATGCCCATGGTTTTTACTACTTGAATTCTGCCGATGAGCTATCAAGTAATTGGCAATATTTAATGGAGATGTTTAATATGTAAGCTTCTTAATTAACTTATATATTTTTTGTTGTTTCAAATTTTTAAACATCAATATTTTTTGTCTATTTATTAGGGCTAACGGTGTTGTATTGCACCCAGATACAACTCAGTATTTCAAGAGGCAAGAAATATGATCAATCCTGCATTGGAACATAATCAAGGTATTTCCTTTGAATATTGTCTTTATTATATGTTTATTTGTTTTAATTCATTAATATATTTTCATTGGTTTTTTTAAAGTGCCCTCAACAAAAGGATAATAGCTTGGATTATGGATATTGTCTTATGGGATATCTTAAAAATATCATTACTTACCAGCAGACTGTCATTTTCTTTTCTTCGACGATGTGTGTGTGTGTGTCATTTGAATTCAATTATTTTACAATATTAAAAATATGTCAACTAACTTTTCTTTGATTATATATAATGCAGTATTACCCAAACAGGTATTGTGAAGTATTTGAGGATGCTAGCATCAATGAAGTTATCGAGGAGTGGTGTTAAAATTCATTATAGTTGTTGGCTCAATATGTGACTAATTCAGGGGGGTAATTTCGATTTAGATCATTGGAGGATTCAATACTATTATATATGAAAATAATTGTTTTATATATTTTCAATCGATTAGTTTTAATTATATATTAGAAGTATTTGGGATTGAATTCTGGTTGCATATATACTTTGGTTTGAATATAAGGAGTTGTGAAATATGTAGCCTCTCAATTTAAAAAAAAAAAAACAAAGGTAATATTTGACAGTTATGCCAATAACCGTCAAATATGGTGATGAATACTTAACAGTTATATATCATAACCGTCAAATATGATCTCATGACTCCTCTTATAAGCTAAATTTTAGCACTTATATATGATGGTTGATAACAACCATCAACTATTTAGGCATAATATTTAACGGTTTCTTAAAAACATCCCTTATACATGACAGAGGGTTATTTGATGTTTTTGATAGTCAAATATAGGAAAAAATAACCATAAAATATAGCCAATTTTATAATAGTATATAAGCTCATACAGACAATAACAATTTTACTCGTCTCATTAAGTAAAATACACCACGGCAATTGCATAATGCCATTGTATTCTATAAACAACAATTACTATAAACCAATGCTAAGTTGTGATGAAATATCAAAACCATAGGATTTAGGGTGCCCCACTTTTCTACCAATAATGAATAATAATAATTTTTTATTTTATTATATATATTACATTAATAATGTTTTTGGTTATGAACATGTATCTTCTCATTAGAGGAATTTTGTTTGAGACATTGTCAGGCACTAAACATGGACACCCCTCTTGATGATATGAATTATATTAAATAATGTTGTTTTAAAAGAATAAAACTTTATATACTTTTTTTTTTTTAATACAAACTTTATAAACTTACGGAGTCCGTATAAAGTTTAAATGAGAGAATGGGATTGGGCCGTTAGGTCCATAAGCCCAGCAAGGTTCGTCACTCGGGTATCGCAATTGAAAGCTAATTTCCAGTCTCAATACCTAGTTGATCGCAGTCCAGATCCATGGCTCTTTGGAGAGCTCGCGCAGTTTCTTCTGCGTTTTCGAGTATTGGCATTCTTAACTTCCTCAAACCTTTATCATTTCTTAACAATGCTTCTCGAAATTTTGCTTCCGGTACTTGACCTCTCTCATCTCTTTTATTCTCCTGCTTTTTCCGTGGCGTTTTTATGTTCCTACGAAACCTAGGCTTTCATGTCAATGGGGTGAACGAAAATGATTTATCTGTTAATGTTGATTTTTTTTTTTTTGGCTGAGAAGTCGAATATTCCAAATGGTTTTAGTCGGATGAAGATTGAAGGGGTCCGCTTCTTTTCTGGATTCAGAAGGGTGGCTTCCTGTGTGTTCTACATGGTTGCCTTTGCCGTAGACCGTAGTGAGAGTGAGTGAGTGATAAGCTGTAGGGTTTGCTCAAGTTTCTAACGTTTTAGCCTGGTTTCAGTGAAGATGATAGGAATAGGAAGTGGGTGAACTAGTCTTGAAGGCTTTTTTCAACATTATTTTAATTGAAAGGCTTGAATGCCTAGTTTACGGGGATTGGGCTTGCTCTGTTATTCTTACATGGGGAGTAGAGTATCTTATTTATTTTTAAATGTTCAAAGGAGCTTAGCTTCATGGTGATTTTCGAGTTCAGCCAAGGACAAGCGCTCACGAAAATGTCTGGATCAGTGTTGTTAAAGGCAATAGGCACGCTCAAGCCGAGTGAAGCAACTTGCTTCCATGTGAAAATGCATAATATATGGGACAACAAATCTAAGATAAAATGATAAATTGAAATTTACTTAACCTTCATATAAATACTCTGAAAAATGGTGTCATATGAAGAAACACAGAGACAAAGTAGCAATCAATTTATACATTAAATACTTTGAAAAATTGCAACCAAGTGCCAAAAGGTGCACAAGGAACCCAAAGGCGAGCACCTAGGTGAACCCATCACCTCTCTTCACACTAGAGGTGATGGGGCTGTTCTGCACTTCGCCTCAGCACCTAAGGTGCAAAGGCGAGTGCCTTTAACAACAGTGATTTGGATGCTTTTTCATTAGAACAATTGAGTAAAGAACATGCTGAAGCTTGACACTGGATTTCTTGACATATATTTCTGAAGTTTATTTTTTTTCATTCCTTTTATGGAAACAGATATGAAAATTTTTTAGTTCTGTCTCATAAGTTGAAATAATTGAAATCAAAAGGTTTGGATCTATTGATGGTTTCTTTCGTTACTTTCTTAGAATGATGAAAATTGTGCTCAGATAAATCCATATTTGTATCCATTTCCATTCAACTAGAGGAGGATATGTATAGATATCTTTTTATTTTGATTATGCAGAATTGAATAGAATCATAACATGCTGTCTTGCTAAGAGTATTGAAATAAGCAGTTCTGTTTATTGGCGTTTACTATGTCATACAAAAGTTAGGAGCTAATAGGTTTGCCTTGCTATCACATTTTACCCTTATTTCTGGTGGTCAATCAGAAGAATGGAAAAAAACAATAGAAGAGCAGCATAAAATGTGTTGGAAGTTGTCAAGATAATTAGTTTGCTAATTTTGTTATTAATTACCTCGTTTGTTGGTGACTGTAAAATCTATGTAAGGGGTATCACATTGTTTTAGAGGATTGTTGTATCATTGTAATTGTGTTAGTTTCTGTTAGTTAATAATAAAATACTCCTTCCAGTCCAAAATATAAGCAATGTTTTTGGACAAATCCGCATGCTAACAAAGTCCTCATTCTTATAAAAATATATATTGTTTTCTTGTTTTACCTTTTCCTAAAAGCTTGATAAATGATAGAGCACAATGGCGTCTTGCAATCCATGTAGCCGACCCCACCTAGTGGGATAAAGGCTTGTTGTTGTTGTTCTTGTTGTTCTTGTTTTACCTTTAGTTTCAATTACTAATGTATTTCACGATGAGCGAGAGATAACTTTACATCAAGATTTAGGTTGATAAATACAAGGGTTAAAATTGAATTTTTTTTTTTCATGTATTGGTTGCTTATATTTTGAGTCAAGATTAGCTTAGAGAAATGTTTATATTTTGGAGCGGAAGAAGTAGCTGTTGGGGGGTGTTAGTTAGTTAAAGGTTGTTAATAGCCCTCAGGAATAGGGAGGCTATAAGTACACTTCACTAATGTAATTCAGATGGCATGACCTTGGTGTGAATTATTCAGTGTATTATTCACGATTCTCTTGGAAAGCATTGGAAAAGAAGGTGTTTTGGGTTGCTTATATTCGAGCTATGCAAAATTTGTGAGGGGGCAACAACTAGTATGAGAACGTCTTGTGGCGAAATAAAAGACTTTCTTGTAAAGATTGGGTTGCATCAGGGATAATCTTTGAGTCATTATTTGTTTAACCTAGTCTTGGATGTTTTGCTTGAGCACATTCAAGAGAAATCTCCAAATGTATACTTTTCGCGGATGGGATAGTTTTTGTTGCAGAGACAAGAGAAGAGATTAACCATAAACTTGAGTTATGGTGGACATTAGAGTCAAAAAGTTTGTGCCTGAGTGGAAGTGAGACGGAATATTTATATTGTAATTTTAATAAGAAGTCAAGAAGTAGTAATTTGAAAGTGAAATTGAGTGATCAAATTATACCTCAAATGGAAAAGTTTAAATATTTTGAAGCTATTATTCAATATAATGGAACAATTGATGGAGATTTGTACATAAGTTACAATTTGGATGGTTTGATTGGAAAAATGCTAAAGAGTTATTTACGATCGTAAAATACCTAATAAACTTAAAGGGAAGTTTTATTGAATTGCTATAAGATTAGCAATACTATATGGTAGTAAATGTTAGGCTTTAACGGGACAGCAGAGCATAAAGTTGGAGCAGTAAAGATGAGAATGTTAAGATGGATGTGTGGATATATACTTAAAGACAAAATCTAAAATGAGTGCGTTAGAGAAAAAGTAGATGTCACACCTATTGAGGGTTGGTAGAAAATTGTTTGAGATGATTTGGATATGTATAAAGAAGATTACGGGAGGCACTTGTGAGGAAAGTAGAATAGATAACTTTGAGCCCTGTCAAGAGGGGTAGAGGAAGGCAAAAATAAATACTTTTGAAAATTATTGATCGGAGACCTCTTTGGTAACAATATTTTTAAAAGTTTGATAATGATAGAGTAGATAGAGCTGGTGATTCCCAAAGATTTCCTGTCATTTCCTAATGCTACAGTGGACAATCTAGGCAGGGATGATTTAAAGAAGACTAAGACCAGTGGTCAAGATTATTTGAGTTTATAACGGTAATCAATAATAAAAGAAAAGTCAGGTTAGGTTAGGGTAAGGGGTAGTGTCAACAGGGGTAATGACCTACTTTTGACTCTATAAATATGTACTTCCGTGATGAGGATGAGGAGGGACTATTGGAAATTTCAGGTGAGGAAGTTCTGGCCTCTCGAATGCCAGATTGGGGTGAAGAAATCTTTTCTCTCATCATTTTATCTTTCTACTTCAGTTTGTATTTGTGAGAGACCAGTGTCCGTGTTGCTGCTCAAGAGTATAGTTATGTTGTTTCATGCTCTGTAATTGCCATTCAGTGTAATTTCAGTCTTTATTTGATTGTAATCCCACTCTATTGTTTCAGCAAGAGTAATTGTGAGTTACATTTACAGTCTGGTTTTGCTTATAACTTATAGGTAGAGGGTTTCATCAGAGTATAATGACATCGTACAATCCATGTAGCCTGCACCCCTAATGGGTTAAGGCTTTTGTTGTATTATTCAGGAATCTCCTTGTCTCTTTTCTTCTCTCTCTCATCTCTCTCTCTCTAAACCTCTCATCTCCTTTGTTTCTCATTCTCTCTTCTCTCTTTCCCTCTCTTTCCCTTTTCTTTCTAGATTGTAAGCATTCAACATAGGGAGGTGTATTGAGTGTTACCTCACCCCATGCGGGGATTAGTTCTCATTACCCTTTAGTTAAAGGTAGATTGGTTGTTTCTCTTTGTTAACTCCGATTTCTTGTTGATCTCAGTTTTGGATTATTGTTTGTATTGTTACCCCATTAAATTTTGTCAAGTTAACAAAATGTGATATTGATTTTTGTACCAAAAGAAAATGTGATATGATTTAAGATTTTAACCTGTTGTTGTTTCTTCCCCTTTCTCTGGTGTTAGATCCATGTGTATATAATATCAATCCTTCTTTCTTTGTTTTGCTATTAACAGATTCTGCAAACACATATAACCGCAGTGCACGTGAGAGTGTGATGAATCAAATGATGTATTCTGACATAAATTCACAAATTGGGAGTTGCATGCCACTTAACGCTATGAGAATTGGGACAATCATTCATAACATAGAGATGAACCCAGGGCAAGGTGGCAAAATGGTCCGAGCAGCCGGGACTTGTGCGAAGATATTGAAAGATCCTTCATCAAGATATGTCTTAGTGGAACTCCCTTCAAAGAAGACAAAGTTGTTTGATTCCCGTTGCAGGGCTACAATTGGTAGAGCGTCCAATCCAACTCATGGTGATAGGAAGCTTAGGAAGGCTGGGCAGAGCCGGTGGCTTGGTCGAAGGCCAGTAGTTCGAGGAGTGGCCATGAATCCTGTAGACCATCCTCATGGTGGAGGAGAGGGTAAGAGCAAAAGTAGTGGAAAATATGGGAGAGTTTCTGTTTCACCTTGGGGCAAACCGACTAAGAGTGGGTACAAGACTGGCCCTCTAAAGCGCAGAAGGTAAGCCTGAGACTATATTTTCTTGGTTAGCTTGAGCTCTTCTGTGTGATGATGTTAGTAATAATTGCTGTAACATTTATGTATGTTACAAGATTTTATCTGTCTAATTGATGAATTCTAAAGGGGCAGTCTTTTTGTGGATTTTGTTGGAGTGAATTGGTCATTGCAAGTTAATCGGTTTTCAGATGTTTCCATTTTCTGCTATACACAACATAAGGGTTTAGTAAGTTCATGAGGCTCCTCTGTTCACAGTAGGAAATTTGGCGAAGGTCCTATTCTTCTTTGATGAACTAAATTTAGATCAATTTTGTTTACGTGGACAGAGCACAATGGCGTCATGTAATTATATAGTTAACCTCATTTAGTAGGATAATGTTAGTGGTGATTGTTTGTTTACTTCGGTATGAATATTTGGCTTTAAAAGGCATGTTAACTTGATGATTTCATTATACATTTTGTTTTTGAACTGACTGGCCTCGTTATTCATAATAGAGTAAGCCTAAAAAGAGAGAGAGATTATTATTATTATTATTCCCCCCCCCCTCCCAAATTCTGTTTTTGCTTTTTGTTTGAGTTGCTGATCAATTATGAAGCTGGCTGGCTTAGCTAAATCCCAATTTCCCAGTATTGCAACCTTTTTAGTGCTTCAAACTATTTATTTTTATACTTTCTTTTATTAATTAATTTATTAATCTGGGACAATCATACATATGAGTTTGTAAATCAAGATATTCATATTCCTGACGCTTGAAGATTCGGCACACGAACATCAAGCTATGAAAAGCGGATATTTCTGTTTATTTTATCGTTAATATAATTATAAGTAATTGTTCAATTTTTCTGCGAGAATTCTTTTTTGGTGCCCAATATTTTCTGCGCGATTGTGCACAACGGTAACCCACGTAATTTGGAAAGAAATTTCGTATTGTTACCAGCTAAAAGAATAAAATAGATGTCCCATTGAAGTACAGTGCGCACCATTTGCAAATCAAGATATCTGCAGCAATTTAGCGTTGAAGTTTATGCGTATTTAGACAAATTTCTCATTGCACTTTCAAAATTTGGGAAAAGAAGTGCAATGACTTTAAGAATAGCTTGTAAACTTGCTATATGCATGACCCCGCGCCCGCGCGCACATCTATATGTATGTATTTAATATATCTATATAACTAGATTGGATTTAAATGTTGTTGGATTCAACTGGATTACCTCTCTTAAAAATGTTTTCTATAGTAATGTTTGTTAGTATATTTGATAGTGTAATTGATTGATAAACATTTGATTTATAACTCAATAGTTTAATTAAAACGTATTATTAATTGATTGTTGTAAAACTTAGAGTTTTATGGGTTTTGAAAAAATAAAGAATATGGAAAGTAATAAACGGAGAACGACAAAAAGATATACTAGAAATATATAAATAACAATTAAATATTACAAAATGTAATAATTATTTTTTTGTTCCTAGAAATTAATCTGTTAATTGGTTTTAATGTTAAAAGATTTTTTTTTACCTTTTTAGAAAATAAAAGAAAGATGATCATTAGAACTCATATTTGCTATTCAATTTTAATTATTTTCTTAAAAAAATTAATCATTTCTCAAAAGAAGGCAGTAACTAATTTTCGGTTGCTAACTTTACTACTAAAATTGCACAAAACAACTTGTAATTTGCTATTCCGTTTAGTCATTTTCCTCAAGAAAGCGGGCTAATTTCCAAAAATAGCAATTAATTTTTAATTGTTGAATTTTACTGATAAATTTTAAAATATGAGCAAATATGTTATTTTACAAAAAACAAAAAAAATTCAAGCAAGTTTCTAGGGACTAAAAAATAATTATTGCATTTCACAATATTTAATAATCATTTTTATATTTTAAAAAAAAATTTCTGTCATTTTTCCATCAACACATGGAATAGAAAGTGTCATATTTATGCATTCTAAGTTTCTAATATAAGATATTTAACTATTTAATGAATCACATATAAGATTTTTAAATAAATAAAAATAGTTTCAAAATGTATAATTATTTTTTATTTTCTGCAACTGTTAACAAAATTAACTTATTTGACGCATAAAAGAAAAGTTTACCCATTTAAATTTCATCAATGTGAAAAAACCATTTCTTTTGGGAAAATATTAATAAAGGACTTATAAAAGAATTTAATATTTGATCAAAATTTCTAACAAGTAAATAGTAACAAATTAACAAATAAAATTATTATTTTAATAAGTATTTGATCAGTTTAATTCCTTCTCATATATTAAATTCTTTTAAATATTTTTTTATTAATATTCACTCTTTTTTTTTCAAATCTGGGGATGGCCTAAAGAAAAGAATAATAAAAGGAGAGAGATCACATAGGTTCTATATCAATTTTAGTTCCTTTAATGATCCTCTACTTCTTATTTAAGAGATGGTCAATGATAAAAGTGATCAATTAAGGAACTCCTATATGATGTAATGTCTTTTGATTTGTTTGATTCTATTTTAATAAAAAACAAAAAAACAGAAAAGGAGAGAGAACGTGAGTTGCCCATGGAGATTGAAGACGATGGTCTTGTAGCCCACTAGACAATCCAAGGATAGCCTCCATTCTTGTCTCTCTCATCATTTCACTCTCAAACAAAACCGCGTAGCTCACAACAAATTTTTGCCTTTAAATACAAAGTCCCACCTCCTTTCCACATTTTCTTTTGCATCCAACTTCTTTCCTTTCGGTTTTCTCCCCTTTTTCTGTCACAAAAAAAAAAAAAGAAAAAAAAGAAAAACTCAGTTCTTGAAAAAGAAAAGGCATAGGAATTTGAATGCCAGCAACCACACGGTTGCAATTCAACTAGAGGGACTACTATCCCTTGAGATAAATCCTGAAAGTAAAAGTTATATCCATCTCAACCAAGTATCTTCCAACAACTTAATTAAAAGATGAAAACTCGTGTTATTCACATTAATTTGAGTTGGTAGTTGATATGTATTGTTAAATTTTCTGTCTTTCCCATCATTTTATTCAACTGGAGTTGTGCCAACTTAATTAAAGATTTTAAGTTCAAGCTATGAAAATGTAGCAATGTTGGCTGTAGAATTTCTACTCCATCATAATCTAATTTAAATTATCTTGGATGCCATTAAAGTTTTCTCAGCTCGATGCCGGACCAACCCAAAGTATTGAGTGCTCTTTGCAAAAAAAAAAAAATCATTATTTTTTAGATAATGCTCCCTCTAATCCTTAATATAAGACAAAGTTGACTAACTTAATACTTATTAAAAAAATTAGTTATATTCTTAAAATTGTAAATATATATATATATATATATATAACTTTTCAAATTTAACCTTTTTGTAATAAATAATTATAATAGATTGTCGTCTAGGAATTGAAATCATACTAAATAAAAAGAATAATTAAGGAGAAAATAAAATTAATTACTTTAACTTTGTCTTACGTTGAATACCAGAGAGTAAGTATGCAATGGCCCCCATTTCATCAGGCTTGATACATTATTTAAGGAACATTGAGTTTTCCTTTACCACATAACTTGATCTTTCTTGGTCGGTTGTTTTCATTTTCAAGAAATTTCTTGACCAGAATTTTAAAGCATTCGAAAACTTTTTTAATAATGGATAAATTTTCAAGTAACGTTTGAAATAATTAATAGCGAATCAGTGTGAATGCTTAATAAAAGTATTGGTAACTGATGGTAAGGCCATATTTGCTGGTAACAGCTAATGTTGATCTGTTAATTGCAATTTTTGGGATCTTTACAGTCAACAGTGGTTTTCGCTTTTCAATTCCGCGTACGCTCTATATCTATTAATTAACAACCGTGCCTACTGAATTTAATAAATTGATATTCCTGTTGGCCAATAAATAAATAAATTGATATTCCAAAATAAATTTCTTAGCTATTTGAGTATTTTAAAGCTTCATGAATATTTATTTTTGGTATGAGAAGCAGCAAAGATATATAATATTTTATATGTATATCTTGATTTACCTTTCTATCAAAGGGTCATAAATGATAATTTATCAAATAACATCCATTGAATTATTTTATTGTGATATTAAAATATAATGAAATAGATTCTAAGAATTTTAGTAGAATATAGATCAAATACCAAATGGGTTAAATATAACTTTTGAAATTTTAATATCAAACACTGCCTTTTATGACAAAAAATATATATATCAAATATAATATGCCCAATAAAAAACATGTCATCGTCATATGATTTCCCTCGATAAGCCATCACTATCTCAAACATCATACCTGTAGATAAATACAGCCAATGAATATGAAATATAAAACAAAATTATTAAACTATTTTTAGTTCATGACATATGCCACAAAAAAATCCTGTAATAATAGAAACATCAGTTTGTCAAGTCAGAACACAAGGCTTATAGTAACACCATAATATTGTTACTATTAATATATATTTATCAATATCATATCAAAATTAATTAATATAAATATTAAAACTTATGGAAGGTGGTGCCATTCACCCACTGTTAGTGCTGATGGTAAGCTTATAGGCTTTATTTTGAGCTCATTGCCAAGATGGGCCCACTCTGTTTAATTATAAGAGTTAGAAAGTAATAGCTAAAATAGATAATAATTGAGTTGAGACCATTTTATTCCTCACAACAAAAGGTTTGGTGATTTGGATCCTTTTGACTAATCAGGATCAGAATATGCTTTAAGTTTAAAGAGTATTTATAAATTACTCATCATAAAATTTTTTATATTGATAGTGAAATTTGATTCCATGATCTTATAAGTTATAGACTAAATTTTTACTAACTAAATATATTAAATAAAAGCATATATATATATATATATATTAGATATGAAAAATATATAATTTTAAATGTTATTGACAAAATTATTGAGAGTGTAACTTAATTAAAAATGTTTTATAATAATAATAGAATGAGAGATTTAGATTAAAGAGAGGTTGACGGTAGAGAGAATAATTGACATGATAATGATATGCAGATGGAACTCAATTTTATTTATTCCATCCCCGGCATCATGAGAACTTGGCAGGAATATTATTACCACCAATCCAAACTAATCTGAATCTTGGGGTCTCTATTAGTGATAGCCTCATGGGAATCTTGAACATGTTTTGATATTTTTATTTAACACGTCTACACAATTTAGGATTTAAATTCAAGATTTTATGATAAGTTAATTCAATTCCTATAGAACCAAATATGGGGCAGGCTGGAAAGACGTAAAAGAAATTAGACATGGAATTTGAATGGGACACTGAAATAGCAAATCCATAGGACAGCCGATACCGCTGTAAATGGCAATCCATTAAATGTAGCCATTTGTTTTTTTTTTTTTAATTTGGCTGTATGATGATGATAATAATATTAATAATTCTCATTTTATTTTTTCGTCCTTTATTCGTGCTACATACTAGAAAGCCAAAACCAACATGCCTTCATTCATTATCTCCATTGTCTCATCCCTACAAATGGCGTTGTAATTTCAAGCCCCGACATCGCCATGCCTTTGTCCTCACACACACGGAGACGCATTAGCCGCCATTTTCACCGTCATCGCCATTTCTTCTATCATCACTCTCTCTTGTTTTCTCCCAACTGATCCGCCATCAATGGCTCCTCTTTCGACTTTCTTGTTCTTCTTCTTCGTCGTCGTCGTCTTCGTCTCACCTCTTTCCTGTAAGCAACCTCATTTAGTGTGTGTGTGTGTGTGTAAATATGTACGTGTCTGTGTGTTTTTTTTATTCTATTGTTAATTCGAGTTTGAATATTATTGTTGCAGATGGGTACGATCCGCTGGATCCCAATGGAAACATCACAATCACATGGGATTTCCTGGCTGATAATGGGGACACTTACGATGTAAGTGTTTTGTTTTGTTTTGTTTTTTTTTTTCTCTCTGGAAAAAAATTATTATTATTTTATCAATTAGTTTTGGTTTTCCCCCCTGATTTTTAAAGTAAATTTCTCAGTTTCGAGTTTCTGGGATATGGTGTTTCTGCCACCCAGTATCTTCTTTGGGGTTTTAATCCGGGTTTGGGGATGGGGAGGTTCACGTCTTTTTTAAATGTGAATATATAAATTATAAGGAAAAAATAATGAAAGTCTGTGAATTTTCGATATTTTTAAGGAAGACGAGTGGGGTGCATGGGCAATACCGTACTCAATGTCTGTCTCCGGTTGGGTTTTGTTCTGCTCCACATAGTCCCAAGTCCCACGTGTTTCTGTGCGTATCCAATTTGGGGTCCAATCAATGACAGCCACGTCATCCTACCTCTGCTGCTTCATTCTGTGGGACCTGAGTTGTGTGTGCTTGGTTGGTGTTAGTCACTTTCACTTCCATGGACCACATGGGTCACTCCTAAAGTCCCATGTTCTTCTCTGATTTGTTCTCAATTTCTCCTCTTCCTCCCTCTCTCTCTAAAAAACTGAAATATAAAAGTTTGATTCGTTAAACTTTTCAGATTCGTTGATTTTAGGTTCCATTGTTGTCAAAATTGAGTTATGAGAGGGTATAAACATAAATTCAGAAGCAGAACTACATAAAGCTTAGGATAGGCAAATGCTCCCACTAAATTTCATGAAAGTACATGTATTTAGGCATTATGTTCTATTAATCTTTTTCATTTGAACCCACCGAAAAGAGTAATTTAAATCAAAACAAATTTTGCATCAAAATGACAAGTATGCCCCTGTCTTTGGCCCCACTAAATTTTGATTCGTTAAATTTTTCATTCGAACCCTTAGGTCCTCTGTCTGTCCAGGTTGTTAGCGTCAGGACTTTATTATTGGAAAATTGGTAGCAATCACTACAATATAACATCTTTGCGTTCATTGGATTCAGTTTAGTGTAATTAGGAGACTGGAAATCAATTCGGATATTGTTTTTTGTTGCATATTACAATTTGTTGTGGTAGAAAATCTGCCTATTTTATCTCAAATACAATTCTTTGCTAACATATGTACAAGTGAGAAGGAGAATCTTCTGTTACTTGCCTTACATGCAGCTTCCTTCTTTTCAATTTTTATGCTAGAGAATTTTCACAAGGAAATATAGATGATGTTTTACAAAATAACTAAGGTATTAGGTGTGTTTAGTATCACCAAAATCAGATGTTAGCATGAATCTTGTTGCTAATGGGCTCACAACATAGTGACATGCAAGTTCTTCCAGCAGGCCCTTTGGTCCTTTCTTATCCTAATGATAGATAGTTGAATAAGAGACATGCAAAGACCATTTTCCCATCCCTTAGATCAGTCACTGAATGTATATATGCTTGTGTCTCTAATATTATCAAAAATAGAGATGATGGAGTTCATGTTTCATTTCATTTGTAGGTGAGAGTATCAATACACAACTGGCAGCTATACCGACACGTGGAGAAGCCGGGTTGGAGACTAAGTTGGGCATGGAGGGGTGATGAGGTAGTTTGGAGTATGTCAGGAGCAGAGGCAACCGAACAAGGGAACTGCTCAAGGTTTAAGGGACAAAATAAGCCACATTGTTGTGAGAAGCAACCAACCATCATTGATCTCATGCCTGGCACACCTTATAACAAGCAAGTTCTAAATTGTTGTAAACAAGGGATCCTATCGTCCCTCACTCAAGATCCCTTACAAATCACTTCCATGTTTCAGATGAATTTCAATAGACCCTCTGTTCCAAACACAAACAACTTAACCATGCCTACTAATTTCAGCCTTGGCATCCCTGGTTACTCTTGTAGTGACCCTTTTCAGGTCCCTCCTAGCAAGTTCACCACCGATGGTCGTCGGTGGACACAAGTTCTTGGTAAGTTTTTAAGAGTAGTTTTAATAGGATTTAGATTCGTTGAGAGACAGTAGTTTCCCCTTTTAGAAAATATTTTTCTACCAGCCAAACATTACACAAGAATGTATTCCAACCGCTTGTTTGCATTTCATAGAAACCAATGAAATGGTGTGTTGTTTTGATTTGTGCAATATATTGTTAAGATTGACTCTTACTACCATTTTACTGAACCTATCTTTTACTGAATCCAAATCTAGTCTTGATATGATTTAGAATGTTGTTGTAATGAGAAAATGTAACATTTGTCTTGTAACTTGATATGATTGCAGAGACATGGAATGTAACATGCATATACTCTCAATTCTTATCATCATCAGCCCCAAAGTGTTGTGTTTCATTATCTGCTTTCTACAGTGATACCATAGTTCCTTGCCCTAAATGCAGCTGTAATTGCCAAGGCCTACCAGGAGCATACTGTGTCAAGTATGTTCTTTGTTGCACGCGAATTTTCATTGATTTCAATTAAATGCAGTTGGAGTAATATTATTGTTGTTAGGTTTTCAATTAAAACAAGATACATATTTTTTTTCCTTTGTTCTTTTTTCCAGTTCCAGTTCTGATAAAACTCCTTCATTGTTGAAACTGCCACAAGATGATAGCACGCAAGAGACACAGCCAGTGGTGAGGTGTTCACAGCACATGTGCCCTATTAGGATTCACTGGCATGTGAAGCAGAGCTATACAAAATATTGGAGAGTGAAGATCACAATCACAAATTATAACTTTGTCAAGAACTATTCTCAGTGGAATCTTGTGCTCTTACACCCTAACTTGCAGAGTTTAACCCAAGTTTTCAGCTTCAACTACCATCCTCTCGGAATTTTTGGAGAAATCAGTAAGTTGCATTATATGCTGTGTGAAAGACTCAAGTCACATTATATGCTTTGCTAAAAAGTCAGAGTCTTGTGACTCTTTAAGAAGCACTCTTTTACAAGAGGAAAAGGATCTTCACTTTGATTCTGATGCAAATAAAATAACCACTTGAAAAGAATCAAAGTAGAAAACTTCTCAATTGATAATCTAGTCTATTTGCGAAATACCTGTTAAATCCCTATGATCATTACTTAATAACAAGTATTTCCTTTTCTTTTTATTATTCATATTTATTTAGGAACATAACTGATATTTCCCATCTGAAAGTCATCCCCTGTCCCTTTTTTTTTGGGGGAGAATATCAATAAAGGACTCTTGAAGAAATTTAATTTCTTAAAAGGATTTCTAACAAGTAGACGCTAATAAATTAACAAGTGAAGTTATTATTTTGATAAGTATCTGATTTGTCTAAGATTCTTGTAAGATATTAAATTCTTTTGAGGGTCCTTCATTAATATTCTTCCACTTTTCCCCTGCTTTTGCTCCATTTCAAATTCATTCCATTTCACAAACTAGACAAGCTTGATCGTATTTATGTGATTGTAATGGGTATGCATACGTTTTGTAAGTGAGATGATTTTTTGGGAAATTTCAGATGATACAGTGATGTTCTGGGGGATTAAGTACTACAATGACATGTTGCTGACACATGGGGAGAATGGGAATGTACAAACAGAGATGCTACTTCACAAGGATGATGGAATCTTCACCTTCAATGGAGGATGGGGATTTCCCAGAACAGTTTTATTTAATGGAGATGAATGTGTTATGCCCAGTCCTGATAACTACCCTACCCTCCCCAATTCTGCTTATGTTCCCTCTTCTTCTTTCTGGCTTTTCTTATCTTTTATCCTCTCAATATTCTTATGATGAATCACCAGAACTCAATGGCATACATGGTTATTCATAGGATTGTGAGATGTTTAGCTTCTGTGGAGAATGATAATACTATATTTAAGTTATATTTGTTAGGCACATCAAAATGTTAGTGTTAGTTCTCTTTCCTTGAATTGAAAATATATTCTCTTTTCACCATAAAAAAGAAAAGAAAAGAAAAGAAAAAGGAAGATATATCCTCCATTCATTAATGATGTCATCATAATTCTTGTGCACTACGGATTTTTAACATCGTTTAGTATTTGATGGCATAATTTTATCACAATAATGTGATTTCGGCGTACGAAAGTGATAGAGCATAATCTAGAACAAAAGTGGAGTTGCTTGGAAAAACAATAAATTACTACAGTTTAAGAATATGGAATAAGTATGAGTGATTTTTGAAATTTTATTGTGAGTTATTTTTTTAAATTTATATTGAATATGGAATAAGTACGAGTATGAGTGATTTTTTTAATTTATAAAACAAGAATACGGAATAAGTATAAGAGAGTGTTTTTAATTTCTATTGTGATATCCTTTTCTGGTGAAAATTTACAATGTGATATATTGAGTTGATCATAAGTACGATATCGGTATGTTATAATAGTTATCCCAAGTCTATAATGAGTAAGAAAAACAAATCCTCATTTCTCCTGATTTATCAGATTTTAGACTTGTCCACCTAGGAAAAAAGAAATCAAAACAGAGAAATTATGTTGAAGTTCAGACTCGGTTATATAATATGCATGCATATGATAAAACATACATGAAAATATCTGTAATTACTATCAGTACAAGAAAAAATTTAAAATCTTGTTTAAATATACATTTTGGGACCAAAATTATTTAAATAGACATAAAGATCATTTTCAATCATATTTTCATTTTATCAAACATAATATTCTTTTCAAGGATCAACATACTGTTCTCATGCACCACATATAAATAAAGCTACATCAATGTTCTTTTTATTTATTTATATATTTATTTTGGGTATCAAAAAGCATTCATGAATCCACAAGTTTCAAACTACATTAATATCTTCCCGAATCACACAGACGCATCACAACAAAACCTCAAGAACAATGGAAGACACATCAACACATCAAAACTTTTAAAAGATGATGAACACATAACAAATACTCATACAGTAGTCAAAACGTGCAAGTCAGATTTATCACCGGCATCAAATAATGTATAATGTATGTAAATGAAATATTCGCTTCATATTTCATTAGTACGATCATTCTACAAGCTTCAGCTCAACATCATCTATAAAAATAACGCACATCCAAACAGCCTTACAGATACTTGCTGTTTATATTAGGCAGATTTCCACAGCTATGGATATTCAGAAACAGATGGGGCATATGGTTACAAAATAGTCACAGGAACGTACAGTGAGGGATGAAACCATAAAAGCTATTGAGTTACCACCTCCGGTAAGTCAACTGATGGAAAGAGCGTGTTTTCAGTAATGACCACCAGGTGCAAATTAAATGATTTGCTTTTAACATGAAGAAGGGGTTAACAGTATGGCAAATGCCGGCATGAAATGCGGGCAGAGAGAGGGCATAAGCTGGAAATCTCTGCACAATCCCGCACAAGGGAAAGGAACAATTATGTCGCAGGTGTAGATATGTCAGTTGAATCTAGAGGCAGAACACAGTTACAGCTAGAGTGCAGAACTAACTACAGAAAGGACAGGTCGACTGCAGATCTAACTACGGAGGGGACCCGTCACAGGGTCACGGTCTGAATTTGACTCCTTGTGTTTCATAGAAAGGTTTGCAAACTGGGATTCAAGGTCTCTGCTCCTTGTTCGTCGAGGGCCAGAAGAAGATTGCTGTGGTGTCAGATGATGTGCCTGCTGCTGCTGCCGCTGATACAAGGCACGTAATCTTCCAGCCTCTCTTTCCAAGACTTCCTGCTCCACTGTGATCACAATGTACAACTTAGTTTACAAGACAAATTCCAATCATATCTGAAGAAAATACTCATGCCTGAGGAAAACTTGAAAAAGCCTGAAAAAAAGTCTCATGTTTTCCTCAAGTCCTGCATATTAATTCTCAATTGCCATTAATTTACTAAAGTTTCCTGCCTAGGAGAATTGGGGCTAGGGAATAAGGTACTGAAGAATGGGCATTTGACAGTTCACCATTGTTCATTTCAAAAAATACTATCATTTTATCAGATTGAGTATTAACAGTGGTGGCAAGACCCGATCTTCTTTTGTTTGCACATACGAGTGACCATCAACAGTACTATGGCCGTAAAAAGATTTACACTGAAGAGGATTAAATCCTAGCGGAGATAGTTCTTCCATGTATGCAAAGAATAAAGTTGAACAGGCCCCTTAGAATGTACCATGTAGGTGACGTGTAACTTGTTGATAGAAAGCCTTGTTATGTCTTATATCTAAATTTGTCAAATTTTGAATGGTTGAGTGATGTTGAACTGTGCAAATCAATCTTGAGTATTATATTTTTAATTTTTTTTTGTAAATCTTATTAGTCATGATTCAAAAAATTAGACCTCCAAGTCACGATTCTATTTGCAGTTTGACTTTCACGCTCCTACCTCTATCAGGGTCAAGGATATAAACTTACAATATTTTATAAGCTGCTCCTGCGCTAAATTTTCTAATCGTTGCTTGAGGGCATTATTCTCCATACTCAGAATAAGATTCCGCTGGTTAAGAAAATCAAGTTCAGCTGATACCTCATTCCCTTCCACCTATTTATTATCACACAAGAATCAGAATAGAACTTCCCACAAACCTTGTACATGCATTTTCAATAAACATAATCTAAAAGACTAAAATCATGCAGAATATTGTCTTCTGCTCACACTTACTTGTAAAGCTTGCACATTTCTTTCCAGCTCAGCAATGTATTGAAGTTTACGGACCCGGGAACGTTGAGCAAATTGCCTGCATCACAAAATGTTCATAATTCTTCACTTAATCTAGACAGATCACTATATAAAATTAAGCAAATAACTACTTAATTTTGTTCTAAGAATAACAAATAGTGCAACTGTTTTACACCCCCCACATCCCCTGAATCTTTGGCTCAAACATGAGAAATAGTGCTCGTTTTGTTTCAATACGGCAGACACTAATAACTAATAAAGATATGTCATAACCATTATCCTTCAAGTAAATTACTAAAAGTATTTCCATCAACTAGGCATCTTGTTTTTCTGATAAAAGAAATTTTTTAGGGAAAAAACTTAAGAGTGGAGGATAAGATATCCTTCTAAAAGGGAAACTGAGAACATAGCGAACTCCTCAACCAATTAAGACAGAGACAGGAAACTAGGCTATCCATCACAAAGGCTAAAAAGGAGGAGCTTGGCATGTCTTAATGGATTTTCCCTGGAAAAAAAAAACATTATGCATGGAAAAAAAATGGAAATACAACAGAAGAGAGGACCAAAACATTCACCAGAACTTGCAGCCTCAAGTCATAAAGTCATGGTAAAATCAATTATAAACAGTGTAATAACTAATAGCCAAACATTCAGAAAACAGAAAATGATCACGTACTGTTTGGCACGTTTTGTATCGGTTTCAGATGTAGATGGCTTTGCATGTGAACCATCATTTCTTCCAGAAGACGATTTTGCATCCGGTCCACCAGGTTCTACTGACTCATACTTCTCACTCACAGTTGATGCATTTCCATCTACTTCACGTGAAGCACATGATGATCCTGAACTATGCAAAGCAACATTGTCCCTTCCAGAGGGACCACCTGGATGTGTAACGGCATTTACAGAAGATTCCCAAGCCCTATTTTTCTTTTTTGCTGAGTTCATTTCTGCATAAATGGGTATCTGATAAGCACCTTTGCCATGATCTATGTCTTGTGATGCCCAAGATGGAATAGATGTCGAATTCTTGTACTGATATTCGTCCTGATCTGTGTAACTAATGTTAAAAGCATTAGATGTGTCTAAGTATGCAAAAGAATCACTTGAAGAACGCCGATGGCCACCTCTACGAACAGGTGTCTCAGGTTCATTAAGAAGATCATCAAGCCATGAAGGCTGCTCCTCTATGATATTGACAAGGCTCTCAGATGAAGTCCTCCTGAGGTTATTGTGTCCCTCTCTAGGTTTCTGAGCAACATTTGAACCAATCATAGGGTTTGGGACATTATCAGAATGTGATTGAGAAACACAGGGGAATGGAATTTTTGGCGGAAGCTGAGAATGCTTTCCAGAATACATCGATGATCCCTTTGAATTGGCCATAGAATACCTGTCAAATAACATTCCATAAATTACCAAAGTCATGCACCCAGGGAAGAAGATTCTAAACTCACATCACTTAAGCGAATAAAGCAGCATGGAAATTTATGTTAAGGTATCAATGAAAAAATAAAACATTCAGTTAATGGTCAAACAAAATGACTACATCTAATCACGGCAGTTTCACATGCATCTCAGTAATCTCAACACAATAAACTATTATAAGCAAACACTTAACAGAGAATAATGTCTATGAGCTAAAAAAACCCAGGACTCCATTGAAAGGAGGATCAAGCTGTTGAGTACAAGCACATAGTTCATATATAAATGCCCAAGAGCTTCCCAGGGTTCATTAGAGCAAACACTCCATTGAGATTAAAAAAGAGCTCTGCATCATGCTGGCAGCTCTATCAGTTCTACCGATCACTCTTTTTTCTTGATCAACCCAAGTGTAACTCAAAAAGCATCAAACCATCTCTTGAAGCCATATCTATCAAGCTCTTATATATATATATATATTCTATTCCAGAAAGTCGCCTACGTTCTGTCCTTTCCATTCAGTACAGGAACGTCAACTATTAATTGGACTGTCTGCTCATTATAAGCAATGCACGTGTATGTCACGTTGACTCATGTAAAGCACCAGTCAGGTTCCCACGCTATACTTGATCACGCCAAATAATTAGAATTGTTTACAGTAAGCCACTGCCAGCATGTAGAACAAACTGACCTACTGAAATTGTTGGCTGCTGATTTGACATTAGGGAGGAAACATAAAACAATTGTCATCCTAAAAAGTTCAAAACTTTGAAGGCAGGCAACTAATATATGAGAAGTTCACCACAGATCCAGCAGAAAACTCAGGTAAGAAAAATTTAAAATTGAACATCCGCCAAATAAATATCTGCCGCAAACCACTAATAGAGAGATAATTTATAAAAGGGGGACATCTTGGTTTCAGGCAGTCTAAAATTTCTTTCTTCTCCAAGGTCCAAGATAAGGGACGCAAAAAATATCAGAACATTCATTTGCTGCTTTTACTATAGCATCTAGCCAAGGCATGAATGTACCGAATAAACAACAGCGTCCATTTAGAAGAAAAGAAAATCCCAATTGTACAAACGCGATGCATCAATGTTCGACAATGGGGTCCGGCGCATCAATTTAATTTATAATTGCAAGATGATTAAACGAATTAAACATGAAAATGGAGACAAATTCATCTTATGAGTAAACATCTGAACGTAATTCCATTTTAAAAAACCCAACCAGAATAATAAATACATCAAAAGCTCACCTTTGGAGATTGAAGATTGAAGATTCGAGATCCCGAAATGCAATTACAAAGGGGCTTAAAATTAAAGCACACTTTCTTCGTTTCTCCCTCTTTATGCCAACCCTCTTTCTCTCTCCACCCCTCCCTCTCCCTCTCTCTCTCTCTCTCTCTCTTCTCCTTCAAGCTGGCTCTCGATAATTTCCTCCCTCAGGGCGCTAAAATGGAGCACACATTACTCAACACATATACGATGCCTGCAACTTTTGCTATTTTATAATTTGACCCCGATAATTCTCACTTATTCCAATTATGCTTCATTCTATAACTTCAATTCGTTTTAGCCAACTGGTAAAACAATTTCAGTTTTTCAGGCAAATGTCTTTCTTTCAAGTAATTGTATTTTTCTCCATGGAAATTGCTACTATTTTGAGACATGAATTAATTAATTATTGAGTTATAAAAAATGATAAATCTTATACAATGAATAATTTTTAAAATATTTTTTATAATTTCTTCTCCATAAAAAATATATTATTATCAATGTCATTATCAATATATATAACTTGTTTTAGCATGTAAATTGATAGGAAAATTTGAAAAAAATATTCATAATTGAAAAGTAAGAGTTGTTTGGATCCAAAAAAAAAGTTGAAGAGAATAAAGGAATGAAATTCTCAACTCATCATCAACAAGGCAACAAGTAATATTTTTAATCGTTAATACAAAAGCGTCACGTGTTGCTTATTTGCTTGCCAGTGAAGCATAGTGGATGGGTTTTCAATACATGAATGAATTGCCTAGAATAATTTGAAACTTATTATTTTATTTTTTGATTTCATATTTAATTATTTGTAATGATAATATCATAATATCTTAATGTGCTTAAAACCATTCTAACTGAAAATATTTTTTAATTAAAATATTTAAAAGGTCCCTTCATTTTAATGAATAATGAGAAAGCATTTAATTTTTTTTTTGAGGAAAAAATAGAAGTAAACAGTTTTTTCCCCCACTAATAATGAATAGATGTAAACATAAAAAAAATCACTAAAACATGTGTGTGTATTTAACTATTTAAATTTATAGTGTGCAATAAAAATATGTGACAGATCGTTAGAGACTTGTTAAAATTCATGCCCGCATGATATGTTAGCTAGACAAAATTTTGGTCCATATTGTCAGTGATTTGTTTTTGTCAAATATTCTTACTTCAATTATTTGTATTAACTGGGATTAAGGTGAGTGATATAGATTTATGTCCTCTAGATTTGATTGAGAATTTGATTCTTAAACCTGTGTATATAAAATAAAATTTGATGAAAAAGAATTATCTTTTTGCTGTTAAAATCTTGATGGTTAATAAAAGTTGTATTATAATAGTTAATAAGATCTTATCAAAAATTGCAACATGCCTCTCAATACCCTATTAAATAAGTAAACATTTTTAGCTATTGAGAAAAACATATGGTTATCATAGATATTCCTTTGAATAGGTTTTGGGAGCAACTAGATAACTTTTTGATCATTGAAGTTTTCAGCCTTGTGTCTCAAACATATATAAGCCGTTATCCTTTCCTTAAACTCTAAACCTTGGATTTAATACAAGAAATTTAATATTGACCCAATATTTTTCTCTATATAACAAATATAATAAAAGAGTCCATTGGATAAAATGTAACTTGTTTAGATTATTTAAAATTAACAAAAAAAAATAAAACAACTAAGAATGAAGAACATCCATATCATTATAGGGTCATCTTGTCAGACATTCCTCATATAATTAAAGTTCTTGTTGGTAATTGGTAAATGATTATATCAGGATAATTTCTACAAATTTAAAATATAGGTGAAATAATATTGCAAGTTAAGGTTTTGTATTGAATAGAACCTTAAATAATTAATTGATTTTCTATATGACCTATTTCATTACAAAAATAATTGATGGGGGTAGCATCTTTGATTAGAGTTTTTAAGATTTATGATACGTTAATTTTTATTTCCTAATTACACAAGAATATCACTATATATTTAGTGTCATCGATTAAATTAAATGACTTTTCATATGTGTTGATTCTTTTACTCTAACTAGTGAACTAGTTTAACAATATTTAATAGTATAATCTTATGCTTTTTTAAACCTCGAATGTTAAATAACAAACTTTACAATATAATTTATCCATTCTTTTCTTTCATTTTTAAACCCTATACATCAAAGGTTAATCGTTAATATCTATTTATATATTTTAAGTTTTAAGACTTCAATAATGTTTTAAAAAATATTAAACTAAACTAAAATTTTATAGATTAAAAAGGAAAGAGAAAGAGTGAAAAAGAGAAGATAATTTAAATCAAAATACAAGTCACATAAAATAAAATCAAAATACTAAATAAAAATAAGAATTTTATATACTCACAAATTTGAAAATGCTATGAAGAAGATTTTAGAGATTCTTATTTAAGAAGACTCATAGTTTTAAAGTTTGAATTTGAAGTGTCAATCCATGTATCCTTCTCACGTGAATGTAATTCACAATGAAATAATACAAGCATGCATGACATTTTATGATAAAAAAATATTACTTGCACCAAAATTTTAATTAAATTGTTTCAACGACAAGTTTAATTTTATAAAACATTAATAATTTAAAATTAAAAAATATTTTTTACTTCTTATTTTTTTTAATAAAATGTATCAATCTCAACCTATCTCATTCTATAGATAAACACATTTAATAAACTTTTATTATCATTATTTGAACTTTGATACCAATAATAAAATTTTAATATCACTAGTCACGTTTTGATACCACTGAATGAGCTCTAAAATTATTAATTGATCTCTGATACCATTTTTAAAATAATATTGAGTCTTTATAAATTTTAAACAATAATATTGATTTCTCATTCAATAAATGAACTCAAAATTTAATAGATTGAAAAGGGGAGGAAAAGAGTGAAAATGAGAAGATAATTCAAATTAAAGTACAAGTCATAAAAAATATAATCAAAATATTAAATAAAGACATGAATTTTATATACTGACAAATTCAAATATGTTGTGAAGAAAATTTCAAAGATTCTTGTCTAAGTAAGTAGCAAGTAAACAGTTACACAATATGTGAAAGTAAGAAAAAAATAATCTCCGATAGTTTGAAGGGATGCAAATCACCCTAATTAACTGTATTAATTGTAATAAATGTGCTAATTTATATATCCTCCTCATGCAAATGTACATTCACAATGAAATAATACAAATATCCACCACAGTTCATGATAAAAAATATTTCTCACATTGAAATTTCAATTAAAAATTTTTCAATGATAAATTTAATTTTATAAATCATTAATGCTCTATCATGTCAATGCTGATTAAAATGGTTTGGTCAAGATATGATGAATAAAAGAATATACAACATAAAAAATATAAAAAATACATATAATTAATATTGCACAAGCAATAATCAAGATGTATGCCATTGACAAACATGTTGCTTTGAGGAATGAGAAAGCAAATAGAAAATAAAAAAATAAATATTATACTTATATCTATATATTTATATATGTCTGTATGTGTATAATTACTACTCCCTCTGGTCCTATTTATAAGTTATTTCTACCAACCTCATCAATACTAATACAATAAAAGTATAAGGAATAAAAGTAAGTAAAATTTCAAATATGCCCCTATATAACACATCTAAAAAGTAATGTTCTATTACTTTTTCTCTCTCATAAAGGGTAATTTTGAAAATACCTTTTAAATATTACCTAAAAAGACGCACCATGACTTATCAATGAGACCAAATGGACCTTCTAAAATGAAACTTATAAATGAGATCGGAGGGAGTATTTAATATGTCGCTATTGAGAATCAAAATAAAAAATATTTTTTTCTTATATTTTTATTGAGATATACCAACTTTAACCTATCTCATCATATAAATGAATACTTCTAATGAATTGTTATTATTATCATTTGAGCTCCAATATGATTAATAAAACTCTCATATCACTAGTCATGTTTTGATACCACTAAATAAACTTTGATACCACTAATTAAGCTCTAATAACATTTTATATATATACATATGTAAACATATATATATATATATATATATAAAGAAAAATTAATATATCATACTAAAAGAATTTTAGTGAATCTGTTGCATAAATAGATGAACCTGCCGAACCTTGAATGTCTTTTTAACCTGTAACTAAAATTATTAAAATTTTAAACATGCAAACAAATGAACACATCAATTTATGAACATTTAGTGAAATATTAATCAACATCTAACAAAGTATTCATTAAATCTCTTAAGTATCAAAAGTCTTAAGAGTCTCATAAGAGATAAGACTATGAAAATGAAAGTCTGAAAATTCAACTATTTTTTCAGTGCATGGTATAGGATCCTTGATATCTCATTAAAAAAAATCAGTTGACAAATACCTATCACCATCTCTTCATTATCAGTAATTATTTTATAATTTGACATAATTAATTAAAAAAATTGACTGATCTTCACAAAATTAATTCATATGGTACACACACAAGTGGGATATTAAAGATTCACAAACCTTTTTTGATTGGTAGTTTTGTAAACTTTAAAAAGTATGTCTGTCCCAGAAATTGAGGTATCAATAATGTCAATCCAGTAAATGGCATGATTGGAAGAAATTCTAAAGAATGCAATCTCATAAAAGCAAGCTCAAGATAAGTATATAATTCAAAGAATGATAAAACTCTCCTAATACCTGCACATTAGTCATTTTCACTTTAAAAATTAACCAACCGTTTTGAGTGTGGTACATGTCAGGTACACACCTTTCCTAAAAAATTGTATTTTTAAAGTTTAAATTTTAACTATCAATGAAGTAATACAAACATGTACCACAGTTCATGATAAAAAATATTACCTATACCAAAATTTCAATTGCATTATTTTTAGTAACAAGTTTCAATTTAGAAAGAATTAAAACTCTAAAATTAAAAAAAATTGTTCTACCTGAGGTTAAACTGGTCAAATAAAAAGTAAATATAAGACCCTAATATAAAATAAATAATAGAATATAATATTTCTCTAATATAGTATCTTAAACCTCTGCCTATTTGCTTTCGTGCAGCAGTAGGGAGATGAGAAAAGTTAATTTAAAGGAAAAGCTTTTCTTGTGCACATTCATGGTTCTCTATGCTGCAACTTATGGGTTTTTCAAGCA